AAAAAGAATTCTGAGTTACTCAGACTCTGGTCTGGAGGAGGGTATTGCCAAGGGCTCTGGGACAGGGCCAGTAACCTCGGAAGTGCTCACCAGGTGGTGCCTGTAACTCAGGAGACAAGCCGGTAGCTGCATTTCTCAGCCTTGAAACAGGCTGCTTTGAGTGTGCAGCTGGCTTAAGTGTCCTGATGTCTGTCATTTGTAACGGGTCAGTTGTTTCTCAACTCAGTTTAAGTTGGTGATGGACGTTGTTTGATAGCGCTTATTACAACCGTTTGGGGAAGGTATAAGGTGAGAGGGTCCATATGCATCCTTTGCCATGAAATGAATGAATTAGGAAGATTGTATTTACTTCCACTTACTGTTTAAAATACATGTTTAATGAAATGAACTGTAAAATACCAGTTTTGTGTAGTATATGTACATTTGATTTTTAAATAACCTTTCCAAAGAAATGTGGGTTTGATTATTGTACAGTACTGTGGCTGGTTTTGTTTGATGTACAGAGCAGAGTGTGTTCTTAAATATAAAAGTATTTAACAGCACTTGTTCTTGTGTTTTGGTCTTAAGTTTCTGAAACACTCAAACACCTTAAAAAGTGCTGAGTAGGTAGTAGTGATCCAACTTGTTTGCTAAATGACTATTTGTTTAAATCTGTACAGTTTCAAGTATTTACTTATACAAAGAGTGTATATACTTTCAAATAATTTAAAATGCTTTATATTATTTGGCTAGAAATTGCTGTTTTTAATAAATGTGAATTTTTTAAAAAATAAAGATTTTTGCTTTCTACTTTGTCTTCATGTGTCAGTATGTATGTGCATTCTTTAAAGTTGTAATTTGGTGCTGCCGTTGTGATGCAGCAGGTTAAGCTGCTACTTGTGACCCGAGCATTCTATGCTCTGCTTCCGATTCAGCTCCCTGAAGGCAGTGGAAGATGGCCCAAGTGCTTGGGTCCCTGTCTCCCTGGTGGGAGACCCGGATGGAGTTCCAGGCTCCAGGCTTTGTCCTGGCCCAGCCCCAGCCATTGCAGCCATTTGGGGAGTGAACCAACAAGTGGAAGATCTCTTTCTCTCCTTCTCTCTCTCTCTCTCTCTGCCTTCCAAATAAATAACACTAAATTTTAAAAATTTTTATTTGAAATTGTAATTAAGATAACCTGTAGATTTCTGTAGAGTTGTAAAACATAGTGCATGTTGTATTTATGAGATACTTACAAATAAAAAACAAACAAAAAGAAATAATGCAGAGATCCTTGTCCTGGTTGCCTGTTTTCCCCAGTGCTAGCCTCATGCCGCACCCTATCGGTGGGATATTGATGTTGATTCATCCCCCCAGTCTGGCTGAGATTCCCCTGGTTTTACTTGGACTGATTGAGTTCCTTTGGAAAGATAATTTTTGTAGAAGGACATTGCCTAAGCATTTTAGTATTTAATTAGTTTGCAAAACTGCCAATTAAATCACTTAAAATGACATCAAAATGTAATATCTAGTAACAATAAAAACAAATTTGTATTTTTGCCCTGATTTAGCAACACCAGACCTTTAAATTCTCTTGTGCCGTTCCTTATAAGTAAAACAACAGTCACTCTTAGGTTTTTTTTGTTTGTTTCTTTATTTTGTTTATTTGAAAGGCAGAGCAAGAGAGAGGGAGAGAGATCTTTGTTGGTTAGCATTAACACCTAAATATTTTTAAGAGAACAAAAATAATTTTTTTTTAAGATTTATTTATTTGAAAGGCAGAGTAACAGAGGGAGAGACGGAAAGAAAAGTCTTCCATTTGCTGGTTCATTACTGAGATGGCCACAACATACAGGTCTGGGCCAGGCTGAGGCCAGGAGCTAGGAATTCCACCCGGGTCTCTTACATGCTTGTGCCATCTCCTGCTGCCTTCCCAGGCGCATTGGCAGGGAGCTGAATCAGAAGCAGAGCAGCCAGGAGTCATTCTCTGATATGGATGCTGATGTTACAGCTGGCGACTTAACCCACTGCGCCATAACGCTGGCCCCTGAAAATAACTTTAAAGGGTTGAGTGTTAGGCCTGACAGTTCAAACGCTGGTTAAGACGCCATGCCCCAGTCAGAGTGCTGCAGTTGCATACCCACTTCTGGCTCCTGACTTCAGCTTCCTGCTCAAGCAGACCCTCCAAGGCAGTGGTGATGGCTCAAGGAGTTGAACTCCTGTAACCTGCGTGGGAGACCTGATTGAATTTCCAGTTCCCACCTTTGACCTTTGTGGGCATTTGGGGAGTGAACCATCAACTGGGAACTCATTCTGTCTGTCTCTGTGCTTATCAGACAATAAATAACTAAAGCTTTAAGAATGATTCAGATGACAAAATTAGTAGCAATCTGTTCTTCCCTGAAGTATGTATGCTGTTTCCTGGGAATACAAATGGAGTTACTTCATCTGGTATTTTGACTTCAAATGATTTTCAGGACAGCACACACTAACAGTGATCCAAAACTTGCTATATTCATTCAGTATCAAATTTAGCAAGTTTGGGATCAATGCTATTGAGCAAATAAAACCTCTAGCAATACAATTCCTGCAAAATTAAATACAAAAATTAGTAAAATAGTATATCTATGGATTGTTAAATGGAATAAAGTGGTTTTATCCAAGTATACAGAATATATTCTACACTAAGTAATATATAATGATAAAAACCAAAAACTGAATATTTATTCAAAATAAAAAGGCTAAGATTCCTCAAACCTGGTGTATTTTTTTTTTTTTAATACTTGTTTTAAAGAGTGAGAGGGAGAGACAGAGAGAACGATCTTCCAGCCATTGGTTCATGCTTCAAGTGACTGCAACAGCTGGAGCAGGGCCAGGCTTGAAGCCAGGAGCCAGGAACTCCATCCAGATCTCCCATGTGGGGGAGCAGCACTTGGACCACGATGCTTTGCTTCCCAGGTGCATTGGCAGGGTGCTGGATTGGAAGTAGAACAGCTGGGACTTGAACTGGTGCTCATGGTGTTAAAGCAGTGGCTTAGCCTGTGGCAGCACAGGGCCTGTCCCTAAGGTGGTATGAACTCTGAGAGCTCACAGGTCCAGTAGGGCCCTGGTTCCTCCCTGCTGCTGCTCAGCCTTCATTACTACCATTGAACACAGTAACAGAAAACAGTGCTAACTGTGCTGAGGGCAGACCAGAGGCTGGAGGGAGAAGATTCCTCTTTCATCAAAGAGTTGGTGCCGATCGACTCCATGCTGTGGCAGAGCCTGGCGGTCACAGCAGCATTCGTGACTGTGAGAGGAAGAGAGATGGGAGTTGGCAGCTTATTCCGGTGATGTCCTCACCATGCTACCGTGCAGCAGGAAGGCCCTCAGCACGCTCCTGGACTCCTCGTCCTCCCGAGCTGTGAGCTAAATAAATCCCCGCTCTACAACTGCGCGGTCTAGGGTGTTCAGTTATAGCAACAGAAAGCATTGCAACACAGTCCCACTTAGGGCATTTCCTGCCAAGTCTTTGAAGATAAAATGATATGGAGCCAGAGTTTTTCCCTCAGGAAGGTGGGCATCTGGGAGGGGGAGGGTTCAGGGGCGTGAGGCAGAGCCGGAGACTCCCCCAAGTCTAAGCAGGGGCGGGGCCTGCGAGACGGCGCAGGTGGGGTCCATGTGGTTGCCAAGATGCTCTCTGGGAGTCTGGTATGTGATAGGGAACAGGGTTTCTGTGCCCACTGAGCTGAGTTTGGGACCAGCCAGGTGCTGAAACTTAGCGGTTGGCACATAAAGGGATGCGCCTCCAGTAGTCACGTAGGTCATTTACGGCTCATTACCTTGCAACAAAGTCACTGCTTATTTTAGCTCATGGCGCCGTTCGCCACCGAGGTGTGACAGTCACACAGTGGAAGTGACTGCGGAGTGTCCCTGCCAGCCTCCTGTCTAGTCCCGCCCCAGCTGCCCGGTGATGACATTTGATGAAGGTCGGAGGCGGGCCGTGGGAGGAGGCCAGGGGTCCCTCTGGTGTCACTGCTCACAGCGGGGACAGCTAACTGCTGGGCTGAGCCGGGAAGGAGGAGTTCCCTAGACTGTCTCCATTGAGGCTGGAGTTAATGTCATCTGGGGAATTTGAGGGTGTCCCGGGGATGTATAATGGGGGGCTATGTGGGAAGGGCTGCGTAGCTTGATTCCCTCCCTTACCTTTTTTTTTTTTTTAAGGTTTATTTGCAAAGCAGAGTTTACAGAGAGATCTGTCTGCTGGTTCACTCCCCAAATGGCAGCAATGGTCAGGGCTGGGCCCAGCTGAAGCCAGGAGCCCAGAGCTGCTTCTGGGTCTCCCATGTGGGTGCAGGGGCCCAAGGACCTGGGCCATCTTCCACTGCTTCCCCAGGCGCATTAGCAGAGAGCTGGATCAGAAGTGGAGCAGCCGGGACTTGAACCGGCACCCACACGGGATGCCGGTGTCACAGGCAGCAATTATACCGACTGGGCCACAACGGCCCCAATTCTCCCTTTTCTAGAAACTTCTTTCCCCCTTCCTATGCTTGGGTATTGGTGAGGGACACATCTAACTCCCTTACACATTGGGTTGGACTAAGGGTGGTCTGATGTGAGTGAACCCAAGAAGGAACCCCTGGGAGACAAAGCCATGTGACCTGAGTTGCTCAGAAAACATGTCTGGGGCTCGGGGTGAGCGTTGCAGAGATGAGAGAGACTCGCTGGGCCCCGCTGGCCTCTGCTCCAGTCCCTCCCGAGGCCCAACACATCTTCTGTCTGGCTCAGTGTTCTGCCTTCTGGCTACTGTTTCCTTTTTGCATTTAGCTGCTTGATGATCCTTGTGGGTGACCCAGAATGTCTTGGCTGATGGAGGAGGTTGGGGTGGGCACCTTTGGGGCTCCTGGGATGGGGAACCAGGTGCAGGCTGGTGCAGGCTTGCTGTCTGAGTTTCTCTCTGTTGGCCGGGCAGGTGAGGGGGTGTTTGTGATGAGGCCCGGTTTGCTGAGAGCTGCTGAGGGGACAGTGAAGAAGCGTAGGAGATCCAGGGGCTAGGCCATGTCTATTCTCCACTCTCAGCCTTGGCCGTGAAACCAGGTAGAGTAAGAGCGGTGGCACTGGGGGTGGGGGCGTCAGCAGAGTGATGTCGCTTTGTCGATGGATAGGTGGGTGTGCCAGTCTCAACTACCAGGTGTGTGGTCCTGGGGGGTCACTTTGTGGCTTGGAGTCCCCTGCTGAGAAACCACTCTCCCGGCCACAGAGCCACATGAGGTACAGCTTGCACAGTGCTTAGCTCCGGCCGGCCTGAGGGAACTGGGCGGGGCCATGCCTCTGCAGCCGAGGGAAAGGCAGCCCCTCAGTGCCGTGGCTTGGCTGCCCGTTCCAGCCCCAGGGTGGCGCTACAGGGAGATGGTGGAACCACGGGGCAGTGGGGCTCAGTGGGAGGTCCCTAGGTCATGGAGGTTTACCTGCAGGAGGTCTCAAGAGAGGGTTGCTATACATAAACCTGGCTTTGAGCCTGCCCCCACTCCCTGCTTTCTGGCTTGGCACCTGAGCCTTCCTCCTCATGTGGTCAGCCACCCATCATGGGTCCTTTGCTGGGGCCAAGCCTGCACCATGCTGCTTACACACTGGACCCCGCGTGTCTTAGGTAGTTGTGGCAACCAAAAGCTGACGAACACCCTCCGCCTTCCTGAAGGGATGCATGCGTGAGAAACACTGGGAGCTACCCAGGTGTCAACAGGAGGGCCAAGCTAACAATAATTGGAATGACATTTCCTGCGTGGTTTCTAGGCCCATTGTATGGATGCAGACACTGAGGCACAAAGCTCCTTGCAGAGCACACAGCCAGCAAAGGGCAGAGGTAGGTTTGAGCACAGTCTGTGTCCTGAGTCAAGGCAAGAATCCAAAGCCGGGAAAGAACTTCTACAGGGCAAGCGCCTGGTAGGGGCAGGCAGGGCGGGTGTTGGCGCACTGCCTGTTGCCCTGACAATGGGCTTCCGGTGCCGTCCGCTCCGGGCTGAACGTTCAGTCTTTCCCGTGCCCAGCCATCAAATGATTTCTCCATTAAGTGCCCCTCCAAAAACTTACATTTGTATTTTTTTTCAAATTAAGGAGCTGTGACAGGTCTCAGATGACAAACCCACTCTGAGAGGACACAGACAGGTCTTGGGGACCTGAGGACACCCCCGCACCCCCGACCCGGTCCCAAGATACTGCAGGGGCTTCTGGAGCCATCCTGGGACAGTTTGGTGATGGCTGTGACATCAGAAATAACAATCTCGTCTTCTGGCATGCTTCTCTAACAACAGCCTGGCGGCCTCTGCGAACTTCTCCAAGTCACGGATGGGCAGGGAGTTCAGGGCCCTGCTCATCCTTCTCAGGAGGGTCTGGATCTTCCGCACTATCGGGCCGGGTTCCACCTGCAGGATGGCTGTCTCCCCCATTTCACACAGCACCTCTGGGGTGGTGGGCTGGGGGGAATCCAGAGAGGCCCAGGTGAGGCCCACGCCCCCTCCCCAGGATTCGGCCCCCTTGCGGCCCTGAGTCCTTCCCCATCCCCCCACCCCCTCACCCCCATCCGAGGGCAGATCTGTTTTCCCAGCCCTGTCTCTTGTGGCCTTTCTGCTACCTCCCCAGACACACTCGCTTGGCCACGTCGATGCTGGAGACAAGGGCTACAGCCGTGCTGGAGCTGCAGGGCTTCACGGTGCCTGTCGGTAAGGCCCACTGCCACTTGGGGCCCCATCTGGGTTTTGCTGGGAAGAGGCTCTGGCTCAGCAAGGCCACCCCAGTACCCACCTCTGCCTTGGTTCACAGATGGCTGAGGGGAAAGTCTCCTGGATGGGGAATCTATAAAGGGTAATTCCAGTATGCTCAGTGCGTAAGCAGCCCCCAGCTCACGGAGTGTCTCTGCCCAGCGAGTTGTATGTAAGCCTCACAGCCACCCGCACTCACATCGCAGACAACCACAGGCTCGGCATTGGGCAAGGAAGGGTATGTCTGTCCCGGCGCCCCTGCTCGCTCAGCCTGGGCTGGTCCTACAGAGGCTGTGTGCACCTCTAGCTCCGGCTCTGTCCTTTCGCTCCATTGCACTGGGACAGACTAGCCTCACCAGGGACCCTCCCCTTCCCCGGCACAGCTGCCCCAGGCACCCAAGCCCCGCCCAGGGCTGTCAGGCCTCCTGGTCTCTGCCCATGTCTGCTCTTGACGTGAGTGTCCTGGACACGGCCTCCCCTTTCCAGCCCTCCTCCCTCAGGGAGCACCACTGCCACTCAGGGGCCAAGAACCCAGGTCTTCTTGCCCTTTCCAACGCCAGCTGTCTTGTTTGTCACTGCTATGGCAGAACAGTTGGACCGTCTGGGTGAGAGTGCCGACCACTTCTAGGGAGTCCACTGCTCTGGGACATCGAGTAGGCAAGGACATGGGATGTGGTTATCCAGCCTGTGAAACAGGCAGTGAGGCCCAGAGTGACCACCTGGCCAGGCCTGCTTGGCCCTCCCCAAGTTTTGGCCCTCAAAGACCCATGTCTTGGTAGAGCCTCCATCCTAGGCTGGTGACCTGACGCCCATCACCTTTCCGCCCCTCCTCCCAGCGCATTCGCAAGGCTCTGTTGTGCGGCTTCTTCCCGCTGCTTCATCACCTGCCTCACTGCTTCCAGAGGCCCGAGTGCCTCCCCATCAGGCTCTGCAAACGGCGCTGCCCATGGGAAACAGCCCAGGGGATGGAGCACGAACAGGCTCTTACTTAGGTCTTCCTAGGTGGAGATGGATGCTAGAGACACAACTTGCCCCTGCAGGGGTCCCGGGAAGGGTCTCAGGAGTCCACCTTCTTCCCCTACCACGGTCGGAACTCCAGGAGTCACCATCTGTGGTGGACAGAATTGTACCCTCCCTGACAGATCGGTCCAAGCCCTGGTCCCCTGCACCCAGGAATGTCACCTTATTTGGTCTTTGCAGATGTAATTGAGGATTTCAGGATGAGATCATCCTGGATTTAGGGTGGGTCCTACATCCGGTGACTGGTGCTCTTATAAGACAAAAGATGCAGATTGGACACACACAGGCACACAGAGAAAGCTGTGTAAAGATGGAGGCAGAGGTTGGAGATCTGCAGCCACAGGCCAAGGAATGCCTGGGGCCACTGAAGGGAGTCAGGACAGAATGGCAAAAAGATAGAGAGGAGCCAGCATCATGGTGTAGCAGGTAAAGCCGCCGCCTGCGGCGCCAGCATCCCATATAGGCACCGGTTCGAGACCCGGCTGCTCCACTTCTGATCCAGCTCTCTGCTATGGCCTGGGAGAGCAGTGGAAGATGGCCCAAGCCCCTAGGCCCCTACACCCGCATGGAAGACACAGAAGAAGCTCCTGGCTTCTGGCTTCCGACAGCTCAGCTCCGGACATTGCAGCCATGTGGGGAGTGCACCAGCAGATGGAAGATCTCTCTCTCTCTCTGTCTCTCCCTCTCTCTGTAATTCTACCTCTCAAATAAATAAAATCTTAAATAGAGAGAGATGGAGAGAGGGAGGGAGAAACACAAAGAGGCCCCTCTGGTAACATGGAGCATTTTCTTAGAAGAGCTGGGAAACCGACCTGAGCTGGAAAGCAAGCATGACAGTGAGAGAGGCAGAAAGAATCTCACTGATGGGCTGGGAGCAAATCAGGCTGTGGCACAAGGCCACGCAGAAGGCCAAGTGCTGGAGCCGTCTGGGCCCCGGCCTGGGAGCATGGTGCAGACAGACAGCTGCCCCCACCCACAGGCCCCGAGACAGCCCTGGAAAACGTCACGACCACACGGGCGGAATGGGACGAAGGAAGGCAGGATGAGCTCACCACATGAGTCCCGCTCTCCTTGAAGCTCCTGGTCCACACCTCCCAAGATCACTGCCCTCTGAAGAAGCCACCTTCCGGCTGCTTTCCTGGGAGCTTCCCCTCTGCTGTTTTAATCCCTTTGCTTTTTAAAATAAAACCCTTTGGCTAAAAATTGCCTTCACTGTCTGTTACCTGCCTCACTGTTCCGTCGCAGGTGGAGCAAGCTCCCCGGGGTTCAAATCAGCTGTAAGGCGACCGGAAACCGGAAGGGGCGGGCTCTCCCAGAATGGCAGCGGCTCTGACACCAACACCTTGATTTCGGACTTGCATCCTCCCGCAAGGTGAACGAGGACGCCCGTCTGTGTTCTAAGCCTCCCAGGCTGTGGCAGTTTGTCACGGCAGCCCCTGGACATGAGTGTACCCTTGCTGCTTTCTGCTTGCAGCCATGTTTCCACGTGACCCTTTTTGAAGAGGTAAGTGTGTTTGGGGAGGAGAGAAAAGGACTCCTGCTTAGGCCTGGCCCTCCCAGGGCTGTTTTCAACTGTCAGGCGAGATGATGCCTGTTGACATCTTGGATTTTGGGGTTTCTTCTTTTTTTGGCTCCTAGCCAGCTCTTTGAGGCTGTCCGCCTCCCATAGTGCTGGGAAGTTGCACGAAAGCATTGGTATGTGGCTCAGCATCAGGTAAATGCGGGTAACTTGTGTTCCTATGGGTTGCCGTCTTACAGAACCTGGCCCAGAGGCCCGTGGCATGAACCAACCCAAACCAGCAGTGTGCATGCAGGTGGGCACAGCTTACCTTATACCTGGTGCCCAGGTTTAAACAAATCCGCTTCTGTTCGTGGATGAAGTGCAAGATGATCTTATCCTGGCTCCTAATGTGTACCTTGATGTACTGGTTGATTTTCAGGGTTATGGGCTGGACGGGGGGTGTGTGCACGTGGATGCCCAGGTTCCACCAGTTCCAAGCCTTTGTGTGCTTGCCTTTGGGGAAGTAGTAGCCCAGGTTGCTGCTCAGGTTCAACCTAAACCAAGAGGGCTTGTCAGGCAGCCACCGTGCTTAGCCAGGGGTCTGGGATACAGCCCTCCTGTAATAGGGCAGGACCCCTGCCCGCAGAAAGGCCTCTCAGGGTCGTGGCAGGGGGGAGAAGCTCCAGCAAGGAGGGCCAGCTTGGGACCCCAGGGTCCATCCTTGCTTGGCCCCTCCCATGCTGTGGTCCTCCCTCGCTCCCTCTCCTCCCAGTTCCTGGTCTCACGCTCTGCATGCTCCTCGCTCTGCCAGGAGAGGCCTCGCTCCCTGCGCTCCCTGCGTGGCGTGGCTGGCGCCTGCTGATCCAATAGGTCTCAGCTTACATGTCCCCTCCTGATCAGTCCCTCCCATTCCCCATAGGCTCACTGTTTCCACCTCTTGTTAGTTTCCCTCATATAATTCCCTGATATACACAGGCAATCCCTGTTACTCCCAGGAGGTCTATTCTTTGAAGTCACCAACTCAATGAATATGGAATCTGTAACTCCTAGCGGAAGTTACTGTGCACCGCAGTCCCCCCAAGACCCCCAAGGAATGCCTGAACCCTGTATATGCTCTGTTTTATCACACACATACACGTGATAGTGATACAAATCCTATTCCTGCGATAAAGTCTAATTTATAAATTAGGCACAGTAAGAGATGAACAATAACTAGTCGTAAAATAGAGCAACCCCAACAACATACTAATAAATGTTATGTGAGAACTCTTTTTTCAAAATATCTTACTCTACTGTAGTCACCCTCCTTCTCCTTCCCCGTGGTTGACCATGGGTAACAAACTACAGAAAGTGAAGCGATGGCTCAGGGGGCTGTGTACACACAGGAGCACTCGCCCAAACACATCTCACATAGATGTTAATCTTGAATCCTAAAAGCCAACTCTTCCCGGTGGATTGTTTTCTCTATTTTACCAAGAAAATAAGGTGCAGAAAAGTCAAGCGACTTTCCTGAGGCCGTCACTGGCAGGCACTGGCTGGGTGTCAAATCCCGTCCCACTGGCCCCAGCGTGGGAGCTTCTTGCACCCCACTGCCCTGCCCCTTCCCCCATCTCCAGTCCCTGGCCCCCTCTGTGTGAGAGACAGGAAGGCAGAGTGTCACCTCATCCCACCTCCACCGGGAAGTGCACACTGGGCACCTGTTACCGCCAGCCGTTAACCATCAGGGACTGTACTGTGCTATCCCCATGCCCTGGGGTGAGAGGTCTGCCCTGTCCAAGGGTGCTAGGGCTCTCTTGGGAAGATGGAGTCCAGAACACCCAGAAATAGGGGGAGTCTGGATCCTCTGCAGGAGGCATGAACACCCTGAATTGTGGGGTGGGTTGATCCCACCCAGCAAGGCCCCTGTGCTTTGCAGCCTGGTGCGAAGCCTTGCTGTAGACTTCTTGGCCTGAGGGCTGAGACATGGCCATGTTTGGTATCCACACACCTGGCGAATGCCTGCCTTCCCCTCTGCCTTCCCCTTGGAGATGGAAATGCAGAAATGGTCCTTCCCAGTGCCCATGACACCAGAGCCAGGCAGGTCTGTGTGGTAAGGGTGTCGGGGGAGCTCCCAGCAGTTCTAGTGGGGCCCTGACTTAGCGGCTCCTGCTCTCCAAGGACGAGGAGGGGCTTTCCCACACCTCTCCCCGGGGAGCCTGGCACTGCCCTCTGCTCAGGGGTTCCCTCCAGAGCCAAGCCCTTCCTGCAGGCCTCCTGTTGGCCCCTGGCGCAGCTACCTCTGGGACAGGAGCCAGCTTGGGCAGGGGCCCACTCAGGGAGAGGGTCTGGCCCTTTTCTGACTTTTGAGGGAGATGGGTATGGCAGGGGGTGACAGGTGGGCCATCTTATCTTCGTATGCAGAGGACGGGGCTCTGTCCAGGTGCTGAGGGCGCAGAGCAGGGAGGGACTGGCTGTCGGGTAATTCCCACAGGGTCTGACTCTGAAGCAATGTAGTCTATAGGATGAGGTCGCTATGACTGTCATTGCCTCCTCCCGCCCCGGGGAAGCAGCAATGTGATGGGGATTCTCCTGTGCCCTCTCTCAGAGCAGGGACCTGCCGTACCAGTCTCTCATGGACACACTTTCCCATCTCCAGCATGTGGGAATCGGGGAGACAGGAAAGGAGGAAGACCCAGGCCTGGGAGCCTGACTCGGACCACACTGCTTCTCCCCAGGCAGGAGATCTGGGACTGGGGCCCCACGCTTACCAGATATCTCTGTTATCATCATAGAAGGTGGCGCTGCCGGAGTTGTTGATAAGAGCCCGGAGCCACGTTTCTGTGCGGTCTTCCAGAACAATGTATGTGAACTTATTGACTTGTGTGCACAAGATGAGCAGCGCCAGGTTTCCTGATGGATAGCTGAGGGGTGGTTAAGGCACAAGCAGTCCCCTGGGATCCCCTGGAAAACACAGGGCCCTGCAGAGGGGGCAGGCCTTAGGCGTGCCCCACTCTCCAGCCCGAAATGACAGACGCATTGGGTGTCAATACATGACCAGGAGCATCCCAGTGCTCCAGTGGATACTGTATCTGGCCTGTTCCATCAGGAAAGAGAATTTGGAAGACTTTCTTGTTGGGGTAAGGAACTATTTTTCCATCAGCTCGATGCACCTGGCAAGAGAAGACAAGCCTGTTGTAAATGTTTGAACATCCTCCAGAGGTCCGGGTGCCTCAGGTCTTATGTTAATGATTAATGGATGAGTGCTAATGGTTAATGGGTTAAGGGTGGACACTTGATCTGGTTACGGCATCTGGGAAGTGAGCCTAGTGTGGGTGAGGTCCTTTGGTCATAGGGGTGGGTTCTTGGAAGACGATTCTCAAGAGAGGACTGGTTATATAAGCCAAGTTCAGTTCAGACTAACTGTTCTCTCTCTGCTTCCTGGATTGCCATGCCCCCCCCCCCCCCCCAGGCTCACGGCCAAAACCGTAAGCTGAAATAAACCTTCCTCTTTCCTAAGTAGCTTCTCTCAGGAATGTTAGGTAAGCACTGAAAAGTGCTTACACCCATGAAAAGTGCCCTTGATGTCCTACTGGAGACAATGATGGGGTCACTCGAGCACTTGGGTCTTATCTAGTCTCCCTGTAGGCCCTGTGCATCCTCCCTTCAACTCCCCCTACCCCCCAGTTCTCATGGGGCCTCGTTCACTTGTCTTTTAGGTGATGAGGCTGACCTGGATCCGTACTCTGTGTGTATGTGTGTGTGGATGCCAGCCTATCATTTCCACCGCCTCACCTCCATGCCTACTGGTTGTATTAGTTTCCTAGGGTTGTGGTAGGAAAGTATCGCAAACTGGGCAGCGTAAAACGAGACGTTTATTTGCTCACTGATGTGGAGGCCGGAAGTGTGAAGTCAAGGTGTGGGCAGAGTTGGTTCTTTCTGGAGGCTCTGGGGACGACTCCCTTCCGGGCCTCGCCCTCAGCCTCTGGCAATGCATGGCTGCCAGTGATGTTTCAATCCTGCCTCCATCCTCACATGGTGGTCTCTGTCTTCACGTGCTGTCTTCTTACAAGGACACAGGCGCACTGGGTTGGGGGCACACTCTGCTCCAGTGAGGCCTCATCTCAACATACCTTTTACATCTGCAAAGACTCTATTCCAGATCCGGTTGCATTCTGAGACACTGGGGGTTAGGACTTCGAAATGTCTCTTTGAAGGGACGTAATCCAACCCATGACATTGATATATTCTGGTTCTTCATTTCTTCTTGAATCAAGGTTAGTAAATTTGTCCATTTTATGTAAATTTTTGAATTTAATGCCATAAATTGCTTAAAAGATTTATTTCTTTGAAAGACCCCTCCCCCCAAACACACACACACACACACACACACACACACAGTGAGAGAGAGAGAGAGAGAGATCTTCCATCTGCTGGCTCACTCACCAAATGAGTGCAGAAGCCAGGGCTGTGCCAGGCCAAAGCTGGAGGCCAGGAACTCCTTCCAGGTCCCATGTGGGTGGCAGGTATTCAAGTGCTTAAGATCACCTGCTGCCTCCCATGGTGTGCATCAGCAGGAAGCTGGAATTGGAAGTGGAGCTGGGATGCCCAGCCTCCAGGCTGCTGAACCCTCAGCTCAATGTTGCGCTTTCGTATTTTCATTGAATAATAAGAACTATGTTGATTATTCCCGGTAAACAGCAATCGTGTTTCTCCAGTGGTTTCCTAACAGTCCCGACAGATGGTTCTGTGTGGCACCTTTCACGGGGATTGCAGATGGTGACTCCAGTCCAGCACAGCACTCGCAGGCGGTGTTTATCAAGAGTCCACCCATCAGGACTTCTCTGTTACGGGTGGCCATGGAGTCCTGCCCTGCTGCCAGGGCTCTGCTCTGCTCCGGACAGCCCTCTTGAAGCCTCATGCGTATTCTTTGCGCTATTTCAGAACATTTCTGCAAGCAGCATTCTGAACAGGTGGTCCCTCGGGTTTCACTTCTCTTGTTGTGAACTCTTTAGCACAGTCCAAAAAGCAGGTTTCTGTAGGTTTATTCCAAGAAATTCTTTCAGCCATTTCATCTGGTCACATTCTGGTGTTTTTGCGGCCGTATTCTTTGGGATGTCCATCAGCCACCTTTTCTGGGACGTGAATTTCCTTTTTCTCCTGGAAGCGTAGTTGTCCAATCTCGGCTCGAATGTCTCCTGTGAGGTCTGATTTCCGACTTTAAGTACAGGCCGGCATCTGACACCAGTCCTAGGTCGGGGTTGCGGTCAGCGTGGTGCTAAGGCTGCCGGATGGGCTCATACTTCTTCTTTTTGAATATTTTTAAATTGATAGGCAGAGAGACAGCAAGATAGACCAATGGATCACACAGAGAGCTAAAGCTGCTGTCCACTGGTTCACTGTCCACATGCCTGCTTTCCTGTTGAAGAATTCTTTGTTCACAAAAACTGGAATGCTAAAATCTAAGATGGTAAGAGAATGAAATTCAGGTCTGCTGGAGCCTGGGCATCAGGATGGAAACTACCTCTCTTTTTTTTAAAAAAAGAAAAAAAAATGTTGTATTATTTAAAAGAAGAGTAACACATAGAGAGAGGGACACAAAGAGAGATCTTCCATTCATCCACTGGTTCACTCCCCAAATGGTCTCCATAGCCAGGGCTGGGCCAGGCCAATGCCAGGAGCCTGGAGCTCCACCCGGTCTCTCTCATGTAGATGGCAGGAGTCCAAGCACTCGGGCCATCTTGTGCTGCCTTCCTCAGTGCATTAGCAGGGAGCTGGATTGGAAGTGGAGTAGCTGGGACTCAGAGCAGTGCTGCTATATGCGATGCTGGTGTCACAGTGGCAGCTTAACCCAGGGTGCCACGACGCCAGCCCCAAAATCACTTCTCAAGGTGGCGACCGTGACTCAGCACTTTCCCTCCGCCAAATGAACTTGCACCAAGCACTTCACTTCCGCAGTGCGGTGAGCCCACAGAGTCGGCACTGCCGTTAGCCCTGTCGAGACGGCGGAATGACTCACACGGGTTACCCCATGAGGACAGAGCCAGTGAGCCAGCGTTTTCCCTCTAGCGGGACTGAAGGAAGGCCGGAGACACAGGCTCCTCTCCTTCCTTCCAGCTCTGAGCCTCCCTCTCTGGCCCCAAGCAAGTGGTGATGAGTGCTGGGTTTTAGACGTGCCATTTGGTCCCCATTTCCCAGTGAGAGAAATGTGCCACCTCCAGCTGTGTGTCAGGGATTTTGCTTTGCCCGTAGCGTCCTTATTGTCCGAAAGTGTCATGATGTGACCAGTGAATTTGCCAAGCAAAGAGCATCTCAAGAAAGTCTGACTTTCACAGTTATCACCTGAACCCCCAATACCCTCTTTCCATGAGACAAACCAACCACGGGTGTGCTCACAAAAACTTTCTAACCAAATTCCCACCCAAAGATGAATGGATAAGAAGGCTGTGGTATTTATAAAGGTAGCTAGGTATACAAGGGCATACCACGTAGCCTTAAAAACTAAGGACGTCGTGTCGTTGGGACAGTGTGCAGGAACCTGGAGGGCATGAAGCTGGGTGAAATAAACCAGGCTCAGAAGACAAATCCCACATGATCTCATTTACAGGTGGAGTCAAAATAAGAAGCAGAGAGGAGCCTGGGACCCGGGGGATAGGAGAAATGGGGAGACATTGGTTGCAGGATAAAATTATGAATAAAATATAGAAATTGCAGACTTGAAGATATAAAATTTCAGTTACACAAGAGGAATATGTTCTAGGGATCTATTTTATATCAGAATGACTATAGTTAACAGTATAATGCATACTTGAAAATTACTGGAGTAGATTGAAAATTTAAAGAAAAATTTAAAAAATTTATTTGAAAGACACAGAGAAAAAAGGGATGAAATAGATGCATGTAGAGAAATCTTCTGTCTACTGGTTCCCTCCCCTAAATGCCAGCAACAGTTAGGGTTGGCCCAGGCTGAAGCTAGGAGCCTGGAACTCAATCTAGGTCTCCCATATGGGTGGTGGGGACCCAAGTACTGTAGCTATCACCTGCTACATTTGCAGGAAGCTGGAATTGGAAGTGGAGCTAGGACTTGAACCCAGGCACTCTGATGTGGGATGTAGAATGTATTCCAAGCAGCACCACCCTGGGAGTAGATTTTCAGTGTTCGCATCACACATGAGAAATAAGTATATGAGTCACACACACAGTTGTGAGGACAACTCCTCTCAGCCCACTGCTTTCTTCCTGGCATCTAGCCACAGCCGGCAGCACCGCGCAGCACTTTTGGATGCTGGCTCTCCTCGCAGATGGAACACGTACTACAAGGGAGCGGAGACTTGTTTTATGCACCCTGTGTCTCCAGCACTAGGAAGCATGGCCGGATGCCGTGTGCTCCTCACACATATCTCTCCAGGGCCCACGTAATGCCTCTTGTGCGAGCTCCACGCTGTTAGCTCCCACTCAGTCACTGCAACCTGCTGGGGCCAGTTTTCACCTATGACTGTGTTGTATCAGTCTTTATAAGTGTCCCATTTGATTTTTTTTTTTTAAGGTTTTATTTACTGGTGCCGGCGCTGTGGCATAGTGGGTAAAAGCTGCTGCCTGCAGTGCCAACATCCCATATGGGCACCAGTTCGAGTCCCGGCTGCTCCACTTCTGATCCAGTTCTCTGCTGTGACCTGGGGAAGCAGTAGAAGATGGCCCAAGTCCTTGGACCCCTACACCCATGTGGGAGACTCAGAAGAAGCTCCTGGCTCCTGGCTTTGGATCTGCACAGTTCCGGCCATGGCGGCCAATTAGGGAGTGAACCAGCAGATGGAAGACCTCTCCCTCTCTCTCTCTGCCTCTCCTTCTCTCTCTGTGTAACTGTGACTTTCAAATAAATAAATAAATCTTTAAAAAAAAAGATTTTATTTATTTGAGAGGTAGAGTTACAGACAGTGAGAGGGAGAGACAGAAAGGTCTTCCAACTGCTAGTTCGCTCCCCAAATGGCCGCAACTGCTGAAGCTAGGCTGATCCAAAGCCAGGAGCCAGGAGCTTCTTCCAGGTCTCCCATGCAGGTGCAGGGGCCCAAGCACTTGGGCCATCTTCCACTGCTTTCCCAGGCCACAGCAGAGAGCTGGATTGGAAGAGGAGCAGCCAGAACTAGAACAGGCACCCATATGGGATGTTGGCACCGCAGGCAGAGGATTAACCTACTGCGCCACAGTGCTGGCTCCTGATTCGTTTTTAAAGCATGCTTTGTTTTTTAGAGCAGGTCCCAGTCAAATATAGGGGGAAATACAGGGATTCCTGGAAGTCCTTGGCCCCTACAGACCCCCAACCCTCTCCCCACCAGGGAGGTAGATGTGTTAAAACAATCCACGAACCTAGACCAATACATCATTGTCACCCAAGGTCAGTAGTTTCCATTAGGGTCCCCTTTGGGGTGCAGGTTTGGACAAATGTTTAATGACACGTATCTGCCATTGCAGTATCTCACAAAACCGCTTCACTGTCCTAAGATCCTCTGTGCTCTGTGTCTCCACCTGGCCCAGCCCCTGGCAGCCACTGATCTCTCTCTTTACTGTCTGCACAGATTTTTGCCTTTTCCAGAATATCATATGGCTGAGATCATACAACATGTAGTCTTCCCAGATGGACTTCTTTCATTTAAGTTTTCTTTGTGTTTCTTTGCATTTTTTTCTCTATCTTTTCCTAACTTGATAACTCATTTCTTTCTTTCTTTTTTTAAAAGATTTTATTTATTTGAGAGGTAGATTTATAGACTGTGAGAGGGAGAGACAGAGAGAAAGGTCTTCATTCTGCTGGTTCACTCCCCAAATGGCTGTTATGGCCAGAGCTGCGCCGGTCCGAAGCCAGGAGCCAGGAGCTTCCTCCTGGTCTCCCACGTAGGTGCAGGGGCCCAAGGACTTGGGCCATCTTCTACTGCTTTCCCAAGCAACAGCAGAGAGCTGGATTGGAAGAGAAGCAGCTGGGACTAGAACCACAGCCCATATGGGATGCCAGCGCCGCAGGAGGAGGATTAACCTACTTCGCCGCGCAGCCGGCCCCATTGATAACACATTTCTTTTAGTGCTGTATGATCAGCAGTCCATCGTGGGGCCAGCGTTGTGGCGCAGCAGGGTAAGCTGCCCCCTGCAACCCTGGCATTCCACATGAGGCCCCATTCAAGTCCCAGCTGCTCCACTTCGATCCAGCTCCCTGATAATGACCCTGGGAAAGCAGTGGAAGATGGCGCAAGTGTTTGGACCCCTGCCACCCATGTGGGAAATCCTGATGGAGTTCCTGGCTCCTGGCTTCAGGCTGGCCCAACCCAGCTGTTGTGGCTTTTTGGGAAATGAACCAGAAGCGATTCATTCTCTCTCTCTCTCTGTATCCCTCTCTAACTCTGCCTTTCAAATAAAAAATGTTTAAAAATTCCCTCCTATGGGTGTACTACCAACTCTGTGTAGCTGACTTTTGAGGTAGGCTCTAGTTTATTAAGGGAGGGATCTATATATTATAACGCATATTTGCTTCCCAATCCGGATGCCTAAGACAGGCCTTACAAGGCAGAAGAATCTCAATAAACCCCAGTAAAAACCCCAGGCATTGATAACCTGCATGCTGAGGTGTCTCCCTGTACATTGGGTACATTGTCCTGTTTGTGTTCACACTGTGTGTTGGTCCTGTTGGCTCTCTGAGGGGGGTGCCTGTGTCTCCCTGTGCTAAGGGAAAACACCAGCGCACCCGCCCCACTTACCTGTGTCTTCTGCTTTATCCATTCTGGGTCAACTTCTAGTTTCTTACGACGAACGGGAACAACAGGTTGTGCTGTGACTTCTTCCTTAGGCTGCTCAAGTGCTTTTGGAGCCGACAGGGAAAATGTGAAAGTGGACGTTTCTGCTGCCCTCTGACTTGCTGTGTAATGATGGAGCGAACATTCAGTCCAGTGATTGGATTGAGTAAGAGTGTGAGGGCTCGGGAGAGCGGCCACACACACACACACACACACACACACCCCGGCCATGTCAGGAAGGCTCCCGAATAGGAGGAAGAGCAAGGCCTTGGAAGTGGGAAATGCAAGGGTTGAAATTCCAGCTGCTTTCTCATTCATTCAACACACATGTATCAGGAGCCTGAGATGTGCCAGCCCAGCTCTATTCTGGATACAGTGTTGAAGACCACCTGGTCCAGACGTGAGGGCATGCGGAAGTGACACACCACTCTACCAACTACGTCCTGAGCGGAGTGCTCACTGGACAAACGTGTGGCTGCGGATTCAAAATATGTGAGTGGGGAGAGGTTAAAAAAAGGAAGTGCATTTTACACCTCAGGTATGTTGTTTTCACTTGAAATATGAATGTGTGTTAACAGGTCACTTAAAATCGAGGACAGAATCTTTCCTTTGTGTGTGGCCTGAGGACCGGGGCTCCGGGATGGTGTCTTTCTCAAGCCATAGCCACCATTTATGGCTTAGCATCCTCAGTGTTGCCAGTTTCTAAACAGTCTTGAGTTTCAGAATCGTACAGTGTTTTAAGAATTTTACATTCTATAATCTTTTGTGTCTGTTTAGTCCACATCTAATTCAAAGTGGTTTTTATTTTTTAAAAAATATTTATTTATTTATTTGAAAGGCAGAGTTACAGAGAGGCAGAGGCAGAGAGAGAGAGAGAGAGAGGGAGAGAAAGAGAGAGAGATCTTCCATCCACTGGTTCACTCCCCTAAATGGCTGCAATGGCCTGAGCTAGGCCAATCCAAAGCCAGGAGCCAGGAGCTTCTTCTGGGTCTCTCACACGGTTACAGGGGCCCGAGCACTTGGACCATCTTTCACTGCTTTCCCAGGCCATAAGCAGAGAGCTGAACTGGAAGTGGAGCAGCTGGGACTCAAATCGGTGCCCATATGGGATGCTAGGACTGCAGGCAGTGGCTTTGCTTTACCTGCTATGGCATGGTGCTAACTAGCTCCTTCAAAGTGGTTTTCTTTTTTTTCTTTTTTCTTTCTTTTTTTTTTTTTTACAGGCAGAGTTAGTGAGAGAGAGACAGAGAGAAAGGTCTTCCTTTTCTGTTGGTTCACCCTACAATGGCCGCTGCAGCCAGCGCGTGCTTCTCCTGGTCTCCCATGCGGGTGCAGGGCCCAAGCACCTGGGCCATCCTCCACTGCCTTTTCAGGCCACAGCAGAGAGCTGGCCTGGAAGAGGGGCAACTGGGACAGAATCCGGCGCCCTGACCAGGACTAGAACCCAGGGTGCCGGCACTAAAGGCAGAGGATTAGCCTAGTGAGTCTTAGCGCCAGCCTTCAAAGTGGTTTTTAAAAGCTATTTTTCTTAATTTTTAAAAAGCATTCAACTTAGCTTTTATCACCACAACAAGTTTCTTTCTACCTTCAATTTTGTCCATTCGTGTAACAGTTGAGGTTTGGGATTCTACTGGCAAGGGCAGCAGCAGGGCAGAACCCGTTCCCAGTGCCCATGATACATGTTGAATGGGGCTGGCTCTGTGGCGTAGCAGGTAAAGCCACCGCCTGTGATACAGGTATCCTATACGGGCGCTGGTTCTAGTCCCGGCTGCTCCACTTCCGATCCAGCTCTCTGCTATGGCCTGGGAAAGCAGTAGAGGACGGTCCAAGTCCTTGGGCCCCTGCACCCATGTGGGACACCTGAAAGAAGCTCCTGGATCATGGCTTCAGCCTGACTGAGTCCTGGCCATTGTGGGCATATGGGGAGTGAACCAGCGGATGGAGGATCTGTCTCTCTCTGACTGTAACTTTGCCTTTCAAATAAATAAAAATTTAAAAAAAGGTGTTGGACACAACAGTGGGAGCTGCAGGGGCCAGAGGCATGGAGAGGAATTGTGGCTGCGGTGTCACCCAGGATTTCCTGGTGGGGAGGAGGAGCCGCAGCTCACCTAGCATCTAGGTTAGGGGGAGCTCAGGTAAGCCAAGGAGGCCAGGGTATCTATCATGAGAGAGAGCTCCTGGGAGAGAAAGTAACCAGGTTTGGAAGAGCCCCAGCATGTGGAAGGGGAGGTTGGAATGGATCAATGGAGATGGTTCAGGAATGGTAGGCTGGGTTAGATTATTGGTTCATTTGCTCACGCAGTAAACTTTATCGTGTGTGTGTGTGTCTGTGAACACATGTGAGCGCTGGCTTGCAAAGGTTGACCAGGGAAAGTATTTTTGAGAAGGTAGCATTTCAGCAGAGCCCTGAATGAAGTGTGAAGTCACCCACAGGCTGTCAGAGCCAAGAGTGTTGTAGGCAGAAGGAGCAGTACATACAAAGGCCCTGTGGCATGGGACACTTGGTTCATTCAAGGAAGGACAAAAAAACCCAATGTGGCTGTGGAGGAATTGAGAGCCTTCTAAGCCATATGAGGCATATGGGCGTTTTCTTGGAGGCAACAGAGGGCTGAGGCAGAGATTTTAAGATTTTATACTGAAAACAATGTTAAGAATGAGAAAGGACTGAGAGACAAAAAGATGGGAGTCAGGGAGACTAGAATTCCAGGGGAGAGATGAAGGTGATGAGTCCTATATTTCTTAAAATAGGATGGCGCTGCCTATAGTGTCCTGGGTGTTTACTGTACGATAATGAATGCAAGGTGCTTGCCACCTGGTAGAAGGCCAGTGTATCTGTGTCCTTCTCCAAAAAGACCTTTGCATGTTGATGATTGATGATTCATGATACACACTGCAATGTTCTGCTTCATCTCACCGGACTTGAGGTCTGAATACAAGGGCTGCATAATACCAGGAGCCTAGCGCTGAATGGAAATATAGAGCCTCTCTCTCTGAAATCAGTAACAGTTTCAAGACAGGGATGGGAGAGCTTTAAACCGCACAGAGCCCCTCGCAATGCGGAGCCCCAGGAGACCTTGTAGGTTAAAGTACATGATATTGGCCTTGGTTTGGATGAAGAGTTTTCAAAGACATGGGGCTGTGTGCCTGGAACATGGCAGACTGGACTGGAGACAGCGGGGAAATGAGTTTGCATGGCAAAGGCAGTTGGAGATTTCTTTGGGACTGGCCACAGCACGAACATGAAAAATGTTACTGTATAAAGCACCCACACCTTCTAGAGGAGCAGGGGGTGGGTGGGGCTGGTGGTGGAGACCTCAGGAGGAATCTGGCTGTGTGTATTAGACCAGGTGTGATTCTCCAATTAGAACTCCTTCTCTGAGCGTATGACAGTAGAGTCTCCTAAAAGACCTTTATTTCCCCAAAAGGAACAAAAGCATCATACTTGCACGTACATATCCTTCCGTTTAAGGAACACTAAGCATCAACTGTGTACCTACCCAAGGTGCCAAAGACAGATACAGACATCTACAGCTCTGGCATCAGAAACACAGCAGGAGACAAGTGTGGCACAATTAGTAAAGCAGACATTCGCTGTTGAGATTTTGGCATCTGAGAATCTGAACTGCCCTCCTTATATTGGGGTAACCCATTGTGTGAGTCTAAGTGGGAGGTGGACCCCCACTTTGCTAATTGGAGGAGGCCCTGTCCCCTTAGGCTAATGAGGACATGAGACCTAGGCTCAGACACCCTATTTTCTTCTCTGGACACACCTGTGAGAAGTAAAGACAACTGGTTCATATTCAAAGTAAGATGTCCAGATGTGAGTAGAGAATTATTAACAACTAGCTAGCATAACAGTTTGCAGATGTGTAGAAAGTTACAAGTACGTTCAGCTGGAAAGTTCTGGAGTGATGGGTATTGAGCAAATGGAGTGGCTAACTTAGCAAAGCTAAAACAGATGGAAATAATAAAACGTAGGTGATGTGCAGGAAGAGGGTAATCCTGCAGTACTCAGCCAGCGAGGAACCAGGGGAGGGACCTGCATGCGAGGGAATCGACAGCTTGCTGTAATCCCCGCCCCTGGTGTGCCTGCCTACCAAGCACCTGATCTTGCAAGACCATTCATAAATCCTCACTTTAACTGCACCTCTCAAGTCTGACTCCATCCTTTGAGTGGTCGGTCAGGTGAGGATATTTCCCACATATCAACCTCTGGTTCTTCATTGAATATGCCAGGGGGACTAGACCTGGCTTTGGCCTGAGAGGTCTGGGGCTAGGGTGTGGTGCGAGGCACTTAGCCTGTCTGAGGCTTCCTTAGAAGTACTGTGTGCTAACTAGTTGTGCCAGTGGAGTACCCTAGTCTTTCCTTCTTTATCCTACTTCGCATGGTGTGAGGGTCTGTTTGAATCAAACCTAACCTAACGTATGTGAAAGGACCTAGCAGGCAACTAGTGTTGAGGTGAGGGCCATGAATTGGTGCTAGGGATGGGAACACTCTTGAGAGGGAATCTGAGACCATCAGAGATGAGCGACGTGTCCCCTGGGCTTCATCACATCTGTGTTAGTTGGATCTGGTAATCTGAAAGGTATTCCCTATTGTGGTTTTGAGTTTCTCAACTTAGTAGCCTGATGCCTTAGCCTTTTGACTCAAGCCTTTCATGATTAGATCCATAAAAGTATTCTGTAACTCCTGTGCTTGGCAAATTTTAACAAATGGACCCCACATGCCTTCAGTCTCCTGGCAAAGGGAGTGGTTTCTTTCCAATTAATATCAACTTCCTAGAACACCCTCACCCCCACCCCCCAGTCTAGGATAGACCCCATCCTGTGTGGTCCCGTCCATTGGCTTAGTTATTCTGTGTGGTAATTCTCTACTTTCTTGTCTTTCCCCAAGAAGGCATAAGCCTGTTGAGGTCCTAGACTGTATCTTTCTTGCTCTGTATTTTACTAACCCGGTAGGTCTTCAAGGGAGCTAATGGGCATGTTTGTCTCCCTTTCAGAACCACAGCAGGAAGTGAGAGGCAGCAGACAGACAAGCAGCCATGGGCAGAAGGTGTGAGGATGGTGCCTACCTTCCCTTCTCCTCAGAATCCATAGAATTGCTTCCTTGTATTTTTCAAAATTTTTCTTCAGTCTAGAAGGAAGGCAGATCACATTTCAAAGCCAAGGCTGAGTTCATGCACAGTGTGCATCGTCTAGCGGCTGCTGAGTTTTTCATATGGGTGGGAACTCGGGCCAGTGGTTCTGCCTGAGTCTGATGCAGCCTTTCTCCCAGTTAATGTCCAGGAATAAAGGGACGGCACATGACATTGATTCAGTGCTTGCTGCCTAGTCTGTACCTGACCTTCAACCTGGGCCCATGGCCTGATCCCAGAACTCTTCAAAATGAATTCAGAAGGGGTCACTTTGGGGGCCAGGGGAAGAGTCGCGAGGTCTGATTGCAGCTTGATTTTCTAAGGCTTGTCCACAGCCCAGTGAGGGTTGCCTCTGGAAGTGGCTTGGAAAAGCAGCACTGTTGTGAACTGGGCAGAGCCACCCAAAGTCTTTCTGCCTTCAGTAGGATATTTGCAAATAGGCTCAGTCACAGCTTATCAAAAAAGCCTTACTGAGGTCCAGCCTTTCAAAGTGATGGAGCCATTTATCCTGCTCATGTCAGTGTACAAAGCGAGTTAACCTGGCACTTCAATGACTGGAGCTGTGCTACTTGCAAGTAAGCAGGGTCTCTAGGGCAGCTGTGTTTTCTGATTCTCAGATCAGAGCCCCTTGGAAAGGGAGGGCCCCAGAAAGAGTGAGCTTCCCAGGCTTAATTGGATCTGAAAAGGAGGCCTTTGACATGACAGTTTTAAGTTTTTAGCTCAGCTTCCTCAGGGAGAGCAAAATAATTTAACCCTGTGCAACCCTAGGAAGCAAACATCCTCTGCTGGGAAGAGCTGCATTGCTTCCCCTTGCAGAGGGCATTGGTTTACTATTGTAAGCAGCAATAGGAGAAACTCAGAAATAAGGTTTTCACGGCCTGTTTGTACTAAATAGCAGTGGTTTTATTTGCAAACACTTTTAGTGGAATGGAAGCATTTACCAAGCCCACTGGCACCTGTGGAAAAAAGTAAGGCTAGGGAGGGTTGGAGACCTGTCCTCCAGGCTGAGAACAGGATAGTGGGTGCAGGCCAGTGTTAAATTCCAGGGAGGGGATCCAGCTAGTGGCAGCCAAGGCTCTGTAGTGAATGGCAGACTGTTCTTTCCTTGTTTTTGCCCACCTTTACAAGCTAGTGGAATCCCTACCAGTGAGCTCCTCCGTGGCAGAGATGATGGGTACACAGTGCTGTGTCCCAGCTGGATTAGCACAGAGCTGGTGCTCAGGAAGTACTTGTCGAGAGCAGTCAGGTTAGAATGAGCCTGTGTTGCAGGCTGACATGGAAGATGGGGAGGGAGGAGCACCTGAGCTTGCAGGATGATTGACGGAGAAGCTGTGTAATGTTTGTTTTTGCTGATCCCAAAGCTTGGAAGTTCCTAGTGCTTTCTAGTCTGTGTGTTTTCCCCTCCTGTTTTCTAAGGAAGCCTTGGGGATCTCTTGCCCCACAGCAGGAATTGATGACAGTCCTTCTCTTCCTGACTTTGTGAATGCTGGGCTCCCCCAAGGGATTTAGGTAGGGTGCTCTGTCCCCACAGCCTGTGCCTGGTGCCACTGCTGGAGGACCTGCAAAAGATCCCTGGAGGCCCAAATACAACCATGCTCTCTCAGGCTTCTGACCACAAATGAGAGAAAAAGCCAGGCTGGGTCAAGAGCATGTCATGCACCATAGGCTGGAGGCACAGCCTGGTTCTGGAACAGTTTGTGACCTGGTGCCAGCCATGGGTCTGCAATAGCCTTGTCATGCCCACTCTGAATAGGACTCTGACCATGATCCCAACTCAGGAAGCTCACAGCACTCCCTTCTCCACGAGGAAACCACCAGCCAGCTTGGAAGGAAGCTAGGGAATTTGCTAAGCTGATGTCCAGGATCTGGATACTTCATTGCTCCCCCCTTTAAAAGCCCAGGGGTTTAAGCCTTGCTCCCTGGACTTTTGAAGTTCATGGTTCCTTCAAGACTGTCCAGCCTCTGCCCCCACCCCCTTCCCTTTGCTCTTGCGCCTCTCAGGCTTAGGACTCCCTTGCCCTTGAGTTCTGATCTTGGTCTGGCAGCTGGATCACTCTCCTGTGCCTGCTCTTTGACACAGGGGACCTGCCTGGCGCTGGCTTGGCTCAATTCCCTGGTGGCCCAATTTAGCCTTCGACTGCTGCCTCCTCTGGCCTGCCCAGACCCACTGACCAATAAATAGTTCCACCCCTCCGGCTACTCACAGCATTCTCAGCTTCTTTTTGTTTCGGCTTTCCAGCAGCCTGGTCAGGGGAATGTCAAAATCCTCATCGAGTTCGCTGAGAGCCGTCATCTCCCTGATTATCATCCTAAACACTGTCTGGTAGGAGCTGTTAAGCATCTACAAAGGACCGCAGAATGAAACATCCAGGAAATGGGAGTTAATGATTTATGAATCACGTTGCCGACTCCCAGGGTTGGCAGGTGACATTTCAGCGTGTTATTAGGAAACAATGGGAACAGTTGGGTGGCCAGAGCATGTCTGCGATCCTCAGACCCTCTTCTTGCCCCCCAGGTCCCTCAAGAATCTTTTTTATCCTCAGAATACCAAGCAACCCTTTGAGAACATAAAAGTATCCTCTTTTTTCAGGTGTGGATGGAGATGGCTGTAGAAGGTAAAAAAATGCATGCATGCTTTAAGAAGTGTGACAGGCTTTCTGTAGGCTGAGCTCCCAGTGGTGGCTTGTTTATTTGATGTCAAGAGTGAATCTTCAGCAGCTGGCACTTGGTGCAGAGAGTAAAGCCATCACTCCACCACGCACGACTCTGACATTCCATATGAGCCCTGGTTAGAGTCCCCTGCTAATGGCGGAAGTGGAAGATGGTCCAAGTGTTTGTGTCCCTGCACCTACATGGGAGACCCATCGCTCAACTCAGGGCTTCAGGGCAGATCAGGGTCAAGGCCCTCACTGTCAGTTTCTGACATTAAATTCCTCATTGTTGACGATCCATCCCTTGGGATGCAGTGCCTATCTGCCTTTGTCATTGTGTTTCCTTTGAATTCTGTATTCTGCTCACCAGAAAATATAATGTCCACTGTGGTCCACCAGACAGCAAGACCCATCTGGGAGGTTCCAGTTGAGATTCTTGTTCCACCTAGGCTATGCCATATGTGCCATCTTTGACGTCTTATGGGGTCCTCATCATTGTGTAGGTGTATTGGGGACCTCAGTGATGAGGTCTCCCATGCCTAGAGACCCTTCCTGGGTGAATCTCTGGTCCTTGCAATCAAAAGAATTTTCACAGCAAAGTTTTTGATGCGTAATATGTCACAGAGGTGAAAACAAGTGAGTGGCAGTGAATTATAAACAGCAGATGACTTGTCACTGTAGCTAAAGGATAGGTCATTAGCTTCCAGCCAAACAGGAGGGTGTAAGCTCTCTCTTCCTCGTCTGTGCCCAAATGGTTTCTGTTATTCCCCTCAAAAGGGCCTCCGTCCACACAGCTTTGCAGTTTTGCAGCTGCAGGTATCTTGTGGCACTCACTCCATGTCTCCGGTTCTGGCCCCATTTGACCACATCTGCTGCCTACTGAGCTGCTTGGTGCAGCTCTGCTTTGCTGAGCTGTGTAACTGCCTATCACAGGAAGGGTTTATGTGCCACAGGTGCTGCCTCAGGATCCTGAGCATCCAGTCCTTTGGGGACCATGTGGCACAGACACTTTGTCACCTAGATCCTGGGACAGTACTGCTTGTGCCAAGTGTCGCAATGTACGTCAGGATTAGTTTTCATAAGTGACAGCCTTTACATCCTGACTGTGGGGGCTCAACTCTAGTCTGTGGCTTTTAAGAAATAAGACACCAAGCCAGCATCATGGCATAATGGGTTAAGCTACCACCTGCAACACCAGCATCGCACTGGTGGGCACTGGTTCAAGTCCTGGCTCTCCACTTCAGATCCAGCTCCCTGCTAATGCACCTGGGAAAGCAGCAGAAGATGGCCCAAGTCCTTGGGCTCCTGTGCACGTGGGAGACCTGGATGAAGCTCCTGGCTTCAGCTTGGCTCAGCTCCAGCCATTGTGGCCATTTGGGGAGAGAACCAGTGGATGGAAGACCTTTCTATCTCTCTCTTTCCAATAAAAATAAGAAAAATATTTTTTAAAAAAGAAACAAGACACAATATCACCCCCTTCTGTCATTTTTTCCCCCTGGAGCCTCCTTAACAGACCCAAACCCTTTCTCCTTGCTCTATGCAAACCCAAAGCCCCTAGGCTTATTGGGAAAACTAAGTAATATTGGTATTTTTTAAGGCATTAAAATTCAGTAATTTATTTAAAAAATTTATTTGTGATACATACACACACAAGAGAGGAGAGAGAGGAGCCAGGGACCCAATCCAGTTCTGCATGAGTGGCAGGAGTCTAGGTACCTAAAGCATTGCTACACCTCCCAGGGTGCCCGTCAGCAGGAAGTTGCAACCAGGAGTGGAGCCGGAACTCAAACCAGACCCTCCAATATGGGATGTGGCTGCCCAAGTAGCACCTTAACCACCACCACTGGCATATTTGGGGTTGGGTATGGAAGTATTATCTTATTCAGATAAAACATGCTCTAGGACCCCCTCTACTCCCAAGGCTTCAACTCCATGCTAAAGATTCTCTTATGGCTTGAATTATGGCCTCCTCAATTCATGTATTGAAGTTTTAATCCCTAGCATCTCAGTGCCCTAATTTCTAGGCCTTGTCTGGCAGTAGGTTCTTTATAGAGCTGATCAGGCTAACATGAGGTTGCTGGGGTGGATCCTAATTCAATATGATTGGTGTGCTTACAGAGGGGACATTTGGACCCAGAGGCATGCACAGTGAGATGGCATAGGGAGAAGATGCCATCTATAAAACGAGGCGAGAGGCCTGGGCCAGAGCCTTACTTCCCTGTTCTTGGGAGGAAACAAGTCCTCCAACACCCTGATTTTAGACTCCCGCCTTCAGAACTGTGCGTCATTGCAGCTTAAGCCACTCCTGTCGTGGCACAGTTCATATCACAGCAGCTTTAGTAAACTCATTCAGAAATCATTAGCCAGGAGCTCTCTCCTAGACCCTAAATGAATTACTTTACTTTTCAACTGGACTTTATCTCAGTGTCTTACCGGTCTTAGTATGTTCCAAACTGAACTTGGCCTACAAAGGTGCCTTCCCTCTTCTCTTTAGTTTCTCAGGCTGCAGAGCAGAAATGGGTCCTACGTCATGGCAGGTGTAAGGGCACTGCCCTAAGCAACTAGGCTTTATGCATTTGTTCCATCATTCATTCTTGCCTCCTGTCTCCCCCATCCCAACCCATCACCTACAAAACCATTGTGGTGACCTTAAAAATGCAAAATTGATCCCTCTTCTGTGAAAAAATCTCAGTGTTTGGGAGGACTTTGGCTAGATTCCCTGTCATAGATTTTCCCCAAATAATTCCATATTATCTATTTTAAGAGATACTTAGAGAGCAAGAAGAAAACATGGATGGAACTCTGTAAAGTTTTGGCTACGAGAAAGAAAAGACCTTTGTAAACATGTAAGAGAAAGTGATTTGCAAATGAGACTCCCTAAAAATTAAAAATGACTACGGCATGGAAACTGCCAGAAAGGAAGTCGGGATAAAATACAGACTGGCACCGTTGGCGTGGTGGGGCATGATCTTGCTTGGAATACTCGAACTCCATGTTGAAGTTCTGGCTTGAGTCCTGGCTGCTCCACTTCGATCCAGCTCCCTGCTAATGTGCCTGGGAAACAGCAGATGATGGCTTAGGTACTTGAGACTCTGCCATCTTTGTGAGAGACCTGGGTGGAGTTCCTGTTATCCTGGCTTTGGCCTGGCGTAGCCCAGGCTGTTGTGGCCATCTGGGGAAGGAACCTGCAGATGGAAGATTTCTCTCCCTCTCGCCACCCCCACACCCCCACCCAGGTCTCCTTCTCTGTCACTTTGCCTTGCAAATGAGAAAATAAACATCAATAAAACACAAACCAGGGGAAAATTTACAACATGTATATCAGAAAAATGACTACATTTTTCAATATATAAAAGCCCTGGAAAAACAGAAGGAAAGAGAAATAAGCAGCTGCTGTGATTTGGATTAGTTTGAATTTGACCCTTCAGAGCTCCTATGTTGGAAACTTGGTCCCAGGGTGGTGGTGTTGGGAGACAGGGATTGTAGGGTCCAGTCTTAAGGTTGTGATTTCATTCTCCCACAAGTGCACCTTCTATTGTGACACCATCTACCAGTCTGCACCAGTGGGGCCACCTGATTTTGGACATTGACCCTCCAAAACTGTGGACTAAACAAACCTCTTTTCTGTATAAAGTTAGCCTGCCTCAATTATCTCATTATAGTACTGAAAAACAAATATAGCAGCAGAGAAAGGATACAGGATAACCATTCATAGAGAGACACACACATGACCAACAAATGTGAAAAATCCCAAACAACTTTTTTTTTTTTTTTTTTACAGGTAGAGAGACAGAGAGAAAGGTCTTCCTTCCGGTGGTTCACTCCCCAAATGGCTGCCACGGCTGGCTGCTGCGCTGATACGAAGCCAGGAGCCAGGTGCTTCTTCCTGATCTCCCACGCGGGTGCAGGCACCCAAGCACCTAGTCCATCCTCCACTGCCCTCCCAGGCTACAGCAGAGAGCTGGACTGGAAGAGGAGCAACCAGGACTAGAACCTGGCACCCATATGGGATGCTGGCGCCGCAGGCGGAGGATTAACCAAGTGAGCCACGGCGCAGGCCCCGCCCAACAACTTTCATAATGAAGGTGATGCAGGAGACATCACAGAGAAATGATGATGTTTATCCCATCAGAAGGGCCAGAATTGAGGATCCTTTTTTGGTGAGGATATGAAGAAGGAAGTCCTCTCATCTCTCTTGGTGGGGATAGGAAAATGGCACACCTAACTGGGATGGTTACCTTTTGAGTTAAAGTTGCAGATACCTTTGGATTCAGGTTCAAGTGCCAGGAATTTATTCTTTAGCTACATTTGCATTTATGTGAACAATTCAATGCAATATATGAGTGTGTGTGTGTGTGTGTGTGTGTGTGTATAAAGAACTGGCAGGCAACTTAAGTATCTGTTCAGAGGGTGCGAGTTAAATTACAGTACAGGATACAATGGAATAACAAAGATTTTCCAAATATGTTATTAAGGGAAAGCAAATTATGTATACTGTGAATATTGTGATCTCATTTATGGCTGTGCATGTTTTTAAAGATATGTAAGTTTATAGAGGCATTAAAATTTCCAGAAGGATCTATAGAAAGCAGTATAGAATAGTTATTTCTGGGACATAAGGAGTTGGAGACTTGAAACATGTATTTTCTAGCCTTATTTACTGTTTCCATATTTAAAAATCTTGTGCTTATTGTAGCTTCACAAATCAAAAGCAAGGACTGAATTAAATAAAGAAAGAAACAAATTGGATGTGTCACACCCTCTGCTGAGAGCCCTTTTGTGACAAAGCCATGGGGTGGGGAGGTGCTGGTGACAGGTGCGTACGTGCTCAACCTGCCTGTCCTGTAGAACTCTCTGGAATGTTCCTGAATGGACCCCGCTCTTCCAGAACCTCACACAGCCACAGGGAGGGTGTGCTGCCTGGGAGTGCGGCACTGCCTGATAAGGGAAAACCTCAACACACACAGCTCTGAAGGTTTCTGAATAATTTAAAAGTCTAATTAAATCAATTCCTTGAGGTTTTCAACTCTAGTTGAAAAATATTTCTAAAATACCTGAGTTTACTTCCCTGTCTTAATAAATTCAATACTATAAAGCCAAGTTCAAGCAATCTTTTTCTCCCTTCAATGTACTATTTCAGCATTTGAAATGCAAATCTTATTAATACAGAGCTGCAGAGAAGCAAATGCGGAAGGTAAGGGTAAGTAATTGAGGGCTACCTAGGAAGAGAGGCCAGAAATTTTCCCAATTAAAAGTTTTTTTCTAAGGCTAATTTTTTTTTGCCTTTCCCGATGGCAGTTTAGAAAAATACCTCTGTCTAATTTTGGGTTGCAGGGATACAAGCAATTATGTTGTAATTACCCATAGTTAGTACCTGCAAATCTAATAATTAATAGTGCTCTCATCTCCACCAACCTGAGTTCTAAGTCTTAGAGGTAAGTTGACACAGGAAATTAGGGCCACCAGGCTGCCAAAGCAGGCAAAATGTTCATGTGGTGCATTTACAAAACAGAATAAAAATTTTGCTTTAAAGACAATACTGATTGAGTGTTCCTACTCTGAAATGCTTGGGAGTGTTTCAGAGTTAAGAGTCTCTAGAAGGGGCTGGCACTGTGGCTCACTTGGTTAATCCTCCGCCTGAGGCGCCAGCATCCCTTATGGGCGCCGGTTCTAGTCCAGGTTGCCCCTCTTGCAGTCCAGCTCTCTGCTGTGGCCCGGGAAGGCAGTGGAGGATGGCCCAAGTGCTTGGGCCCCTGCACCTGCATGGGAGACCAGGAAGAGGCACCTGGCTTCTGGCTTTGGATCTACGCAGTGCCGGCCATAGCAGCCATTTGGGGAGTGAACCAACGGAAGGAAGACCTTTCTCTCTGTCTCTCTTTCACTGTCTATAACTTTATCTGTCAAATAAATAAAAAATAAGAGTTTCTTGAAGTAGGGGATATTTGTATATATGAAAGTTCTTCAAAAATGTAGTGGTCATAGAAAGTGCATTTTATGAAAAAAAATGCATGGATTTAAAATGTTTTTGCACCAAACTTATCTTTGAATTTCATTTTCTGTGAACTTGTGGAGTACCCTCATGAAATGAGATACCTTGTTGAAGAGACTCAACTCTAAACACAAAATTCGTTTATGTTCTGTCTATACCTTGTACATGTCACCACATCACCTGGAAGTAAGGATATACGGGATTTTTTTGTGATCCTGTGTTTTGACTGTGACCTGTCACATGAGGTCAAGTGCGGACTTCTCCACATGTGGCGTCATGTCGGTGCTCAAAAAGTTTCAGACTTTGAATTTCGGGCTTCTGGATGAGTGATGCTCAACCCGTACCACACAAGGCACATGCAGGGTTATTTCAACTGTTCTGACTTCGCTTCTCGTCTCTAGTTGGGAGCGCAGCAGAGAAGAGGATGCCCGCTGGATGTCCAGCACTATGTCTGCGTCCCCCTGCAGGGCGTGAGGTCAGAGGACCGCAGAGCTGGGGGAGATGTGTGCTGCTCTGGGTTGCAGTGCTTGCTGGGAGCACAGGTTATTGTCCAAGGTTTCCTCTTTCACCAGACTGCCCCGTTAGAGACGGTGGGCTTTTCTTATCTGTGCTTGTTGCAGTTTGGGGGTTGCTATCTTTTCCAGCACTCAGTCTGGGATATAGGAGTCAAAAAACCAAACCAAGCAAACAAAACCCAGGGTAACCCCTCCCATGCTGTTCCTTTCTTGGTTCTGGAGTTCCCAGGCAGTCCACCTTCTCCTCTCCACTGTTCAGCGACTTCTAGGCCTTTTTTTTTTTTTTTTTTTTTTGACAGGCAGAGTGGACAGTGAGAGAGAGAGACAGAGAGAAAGGTCTTCCTTTGCCGTTGGTTCACCCTCCAATGGCCGCCACGGCCGGTGTGCTGCGGCCGGCGCACCGCGCTGATCCGATGGCAGGAGCCAGGTGCTTCTCCTGGTCTCCCATGTGGGTGCAGGGCCCAAGTACTTGGGCCATCCTCCACTGCACTCCCTGGCCACAGCAGAGAGCCGGCCTGAAAGAGGGGCAACCGGGACAGACTCCGGCGCCCCAACCGGGACTAGAACCCGCTGTGCCAGCGCCACCAGGCGGAGGATTAGCCCAGTGAGCCGCAGCGCCGGCCTAGGCCTCTTTTTTTTTTAATATGGTATCCAGGGTGTTAAGCCATGCCTTGCTTTTTATATAGGATTTCTGCAAAAATCATCTGCCTTGACATCTAGATACTATTAAGAGTTTTCTTTTTCCTGTTCCAATTTTCAAAAGCAATCTTGGTGGCTATTTGTTCATATTAGTAGCAAGGTACTCAAGTAGGGGCTTGGAATGCCATATAGGGCTTGCTTCTGGTCCCATATGACCTGATGTGGACCTCTTAAAACTATAGCTGCCGGGCTGGCACTGTGGCGCAGTGGGTTACTGCCCTGGCCTGAAGCGCCGGCATCCTATATGGGTGCCGGTTCGAGACTCAGCTGCTCCACTTCCAATCCAGCTCTCTGCTATGGCCTGGGAAGATGGCCCAAGTCCTTGGGCCCCTGCACCTGTGTGGGAGACTTAGAAGAAGCTCCTGGCTTTCCTGGCTTCAGATTGGAGCAGCTCTGGCTATTGCGGCCATCTGGGGAGTGAACCAGTGGATGGAAGATCTCTCTCTCTCTCTCTGCCTCTCCTCTTTCTGTGTAACTGTGACTTTCAAATAAATAAATAATTCCTTAAAAAACAAAAAACAAACAAACAAACAAAAAACTATAGCTGCTTTAACGGGAATCTCAGTTGGGCTGTGCCAACAACACAGCAAAGCTATGAATCCCAGAATTCAGGCGGCAGTTGCTGCTGGCCCTGGGCTGCCTGCTCCAATATTTGGAGGAAGAGGGTCCCAAATTTTTACCCAACTTACACTGACATCGAAGTCTTCAGTTTCCTGCTTGCCAGCTTCCTCTAATAGAGCATCCCTCAGATTCCTGTCAGAAATAGGCTCCATGCCTTTCAAGGCACATCAGATGGAAGGATATTGAGGGAAAAAAGGGAGAAGTATATTTATGGCATTTACCCTTGTCCTTTCAAGAAAAATGCATACATATTGAGTCTTTAAATAATAAATAAATAAACTAAAATTCAACTTGAGGATATCAATAAAATAGAAACAAAAGGATCCCTTTCAGGGTTGACCTGGTAAGTATGGGTTCCTGGGGCCATGAAGATGCACTTGACAGCGTGATATTGAGGGTGTGGAGAATGAAGCTAGGGAGTGAGCAGGCGGACAGAGCTTCCCAGCAGGGGACCAAGAGGGGGCCAGGTGGGGAGGTTGGAGAGGGACTCAGGGGTAGGGCCAGTCCTCAGAGGACCTTGCAGGCCTTGGGAAGGAACTTAGGTGAGATTTATTCTGAGTGTGTTTTTCTCTTGTTGATCTCAAGACGTGTGTCGCCCACCACTTGTCACAGACTGCCAGTTTCTAAGAATTGCATCCAGTTCATAATCACGGACCAGAGCAGAAGAGATGACTCCCCAGGCCAGTGAGCTAAAGGAAGTCGACCATGAGCACCTTTGTTCTTGGAGGGCAGGCACAGCCTCGGCACCCTCTGGGCCAGGTCAGGGACTGCAGCCTCCGGGGTAACGGGGTGCAGACTGAATTGTGGAATTGATCATTACCACCTGCGTCTCTCTCCCCTGCTCCTGGGAAGAGGCAGGTCCTGAGGCGAGGGCTCTGAGGCAGAGGCTCTTACGTGACAATTGAGCCCCGGAGCAATCATGGAGGTCTGTTGTGGCAGCTTCAGGATGACACCGGCCCCTTCAAGCTGGGGTGCCCAGGGAGATTTGAAAATCCACTGGATGGCATGGGGCTAACTTACTAGGTCTGAGTCTGTGTGCCTCTTAGGAGTTTGCGGACAGAGAGAGGCCACTCTTTGTCATCTCCTTCTTGCTCAATTTTGGTTCCATAATAGGATCCCTGACTCATCCAGGCTCCCGATGGAAGGGAGAAGTCCACCGAGCTGTCACTGCTTCTGCTGACACTGAGTCCTTCCTGCCCGCACACTGCCTCTCTCAGCCTTGGATCACTCCTGACAGAGGGAATTCCCCGGCAGTTCTTCCCCATCACTTCTGGCAGGTGCACGCGTGCCATCCTTGGGTACAAGGCAAGGGGCAAGTCCAGCTGGATTGCAAAAACGCTGCATGTTCCCAAGCTGTGTGCCATGGAAATAACTGAGGGGAGTTTGGAAGAGCCCTTTAGGAAAACCCAGCGGGAACCCACGGGAATTCAAGTAAGCACTCGGGAAGCTCCTTGTGGATGGCACCAAGAGAAGAAATGGAATGAACTGGTAGGCGAGGGGTTGAGAGACTGGGGACAGGCACCTTTCAGTGCCTGCCTGGCATGGAGACTGAGTCTGGCTCTGCCCAGAGAGCTCAGCCAAGGGCCCATCGTGTGTGTGGCCATATTTGAATAGGCTTTCTTGAATTGTACCGTTAGTTTGAGGGGAGAAAGAAGTAGATATTTATCATGGGAAGAAGGTGAACTTGGCAGCCCTTCATACTGTATGAAAAGTCGTGCTCAGAAGCATTGGTCTCAGGGCAGTAATGAAGCTTGGTAACATCAATGGGCATTGTCTCCATGCCAGGGGAACACACTAAATAAGCAGTACTGTAGCTGGAACTGGGGCTGAATGCATAGGAAGAGTTTTACTTCTAATTAAACTGTCCCTGTGGGGGTGTCTGTCATCTGTAATCTCTATTCTGGTGAGATCACTACCTCCTCCTGCAGTCACTCCCCCAGAGGCTGGGCGAGGCAGGCAGAGGGGTCAGGCCAGGTTCTAGTGGTGGCCCTGTCAGCCGGGGTCTGGGCCACTTCTGAGAAGTCACTCAGTCCCTCTGCACCTTGCCCTCATCTGTGAAATGGGGACAATCAGACTCCTCTTTGGGGTAGCTCAGAGGACCAGTGCTAGTGAGGGTCAATTCCTGCCACATTCTGTCCCTCAGTGGAGCCTGCCTTCCCCTGGGGAACAGATCTTAATTCTCCCTCATCCAAGTGCTTCTCCTGCAATGCATTTATTGATAGAACTACAATGTTTGGATTTGGGATAAATGAGCTGTATGTTTTTTTCCCTTCAAATGCAGAATGAAGGCCACAATCCCACATACTTGGGTATGGGGTGGAGGTATCAGGTCAACACACAGCTCATTGCATCCCTGTCCGTACCCCTTGGCTTATCAATAAACCCTGAAGTCTGGACCATTCATCTCCCCAAGAAGGCTGCTGCCAAGTACAAGTCTCTCCCTCTTACTCCATTTCCAAAGGTGTTTTGGAGCAGAGCTGCTCAGACTTCAATGTGCTGCACTGAAGGTTCTTTGCTTGACCCAACTTTTATCAGGTTCTTGAAACTTCTCCTTCTGTGCCTTTCCCTGTGTATTCCAGCTTCAGCAAGTTCCTTGCTAAGCCTTGCATAGGAATCAACCACTCGTGATGGCTGATGAGCCTCAGTGTCTGACAGGCGTCCTCTTCCCCAGACATCTCCCAGGCGATGTCTGATCACCCTGGCCTACCTACAGTGAGGATCCAGTGAGGTCTGTTTAGGCCTGATGTTCTCCTCCCAGTTCCCACTGACCTTGGCCCTGTTCTTTGGGCTGTGTCCATTCGTACTTGCTCATGCTGTCTTCTGAGTTGAGCCTAATCTCTCTCTCTCTCACCTCAAAACCCCAGTGCTGTGGACCCTATACCTGCTCCCAAAGGTCCTGGAGAAAGTCTGCCTTACCATGCCAAGTGTCACTGCCTGAGTGTTTTGAGAGTTGACGAGGAAAAGTAAGCGAGGTGGCAGGTGAGCAGTGTAGCTCCACGATGAGTGAGGCACAGTGAAACCCAGTCTTGTTTTCACCTCCTCCATCCTGCATGTAGTGAAATCCTTGTTACCCCAGGCGGGTAGGTCAAGGGCTGGGCCGGGCTGGTGGTCCCTGTAGGCACAGATCTATAAGCTATTGGAAAGCCTGGCTGCTCAGTGTGTGGGCTGTGGCTGAGCTGCAGCAGCAGCTGCTGGGAGCTTGTTAGAAGGGCAGACCCTCAGACCTGCTGAATCAGGACCTGCACCAAACAAGCTCAGCATGGGACAGCACGGCGCACTGATGTCTGAGCAGCACTGCTCCAAAACACCCTTGGGAATGGAGTAAGAGGGACAGACTTGCATTTGGCAGAGGTCTTCTTGAGAGGTTGCATGGTCCAGAGTTCAGGGTTTATCGATAAGCCATGAGGTACGGAACAGGGATGGAATGAGGTGTGCATTGTATGTAAGACCTGACACCCACATCCCATGCCCAAGTACAACAGACCATAGTCCCTCAAGTGTTTTCTAATGAGGCTGGGTCTGGCTAATTGCTGGGCTTTCATTTTATGGAGTATTGTGTTTAAGCTGAGATTCTGTCACTATAAGGATTCTCCCCTCCTTCCCTCCTTAATAAACACTTAAAGAAAAATCCTTAATCATTCATAGGAGCTCCCGTTAATTGGCTGCCAAGGGTCCAGTGGATGAGTCTATCTGGGCGGGGGAGGTCCATGTGTGCCCGTTAAGCCCTGATTTCCAGAGTTCAGGGCAGCCTAGAACAGATGAGCCCCTCTTTAACCACAGGGATCCCTACAGCAGCCCCTTTGAGTGCAGAGATGACCTGCTTTCCAGGTCTGTCCATGTCACTCCGCCTCCTTCTGGAGCCTGTTTTTCTGGTTTTATGCTCCTTCTCGCAGGTTCTAGGGCTGTGTGCTCAGCATGTCCCAGGTCTCCTCCAGGACTTGGTGCAGGTCAGACCAGCAGTGGGTCCCCACCCCAGGGGCACCCTCCTCAGCCCAGGACACACTGTGGAAGTCAGGGACCTTTAGCTCTGGGTATATTATGGTGGACTCTCACCATCTTCATACTCTTTATCTATTTCGCTGACAGAATACTCTGAAAAAGAGCAGGAAAAAATATTAGTAGGAATTGGTATGGTAGACTCTAGGTTACACTTTTTTTTTTTTAAGATTTATTTATTATTTGAAAGACAGAGTTACAGAGACAGAGGGAGAGAGAGAGCGAGAGAGAGAGAGAGGTCTTCCATCTACTGGTTTACTCCCTAAATGGCTGCAATGGCTGGAGGTGGGCTAATCCAAAGCCAAGAGCCAAGAGCTTCATCTGGGTCTCCCATGTGGATGCAGAGGCCCAAGTACCTGGGCCATCATCTGCTGCTTTCCCAGGCCACAGCAGAGAGCTGGATCAGAAGTGGAGCAGCCAGGATTTGAACTGGTGCCCGAATGGGATACTGACACTGCAGGAGGTGGCTTTACCTGCTACGCCACAGCACCAGCCCCATCTACACCTTTTAATTTCTTCAGGGAATTAGTTTTAAGATAATCTCCTAAATCAGCTGGGGAAACTCAGAGTGGAGATCATTCATTTTGGCATAAGAGGTTTCCTTGATCTTAGCAGTTTGAGGCCTATAGCGTGCACTCAAGGAAAAGTGATTCCCCCACCCTTGTGCATATTTTGTCCTGTGTATGTTTTTTCCTGCCCACCAAGCTGGGAGGGGCTGAGATGATGTTGTACATCTTGATATCGAGTCCCAGCAGACAGCAGGTATACAGTGCATGTGCTGGCTGAGCAGAGCACAGATGACCTGCTATCTTCCCTTCTAACTTCATGGTAGATATTCCCTCACTTTCAAGAAGCTAAGGCACTTGGTGCTTTGTCTCTTTCTTGCCTGATCTTTGAGCTTTTTAAAAATTTTTTTTTAAAAATTTATTTATTTGAGAGGTAGAGTTACAGAGAGAGAGAGAGAGACAGACAGACAGACAGACAGACAAAGGTCTTCCTTTCATTGGTTTACTCCCCAGATAGCCGTTTTACTCCCCAGATAGCTGCAACGGCCGGAGCTGCGCTGATCCGAAGCCAGGAGCCAGGTGCTTCCTCCTGGTCTCCCATGCGGGTTCAGGGGCCTAAGCACTTGGGCCATCCTCCACTGCGTTCCCGGGCCACAGCAGAGAGCTGGACTGGAAGAGGAGCAGCCAGGACTAGAACCAGCGCCCCTATAGGATGCCAGCACTGCAGGTGGAGGATTAACCTACTGTGCCACAGCACTGGCCCCATGACCTTTGAGCTTTGACATTGAGTTCCAGAAACAATGTCTTGGCCATTGGCCTGAACTAAAGCTCCCACATCTGAAACAGTCCAGAAAGACTGGGCTCTTCTTGGCTGGGGGCATGCTCTTTCTGTGCTTCTTGCTTTCTCATGGACAGATTAGTAACTTCTGTAGTTTGTTTAAAATCATCATCATGGCGATGCTTTGGCACAGCATCCCATATGGGAGTGCTTGAGTTCAATTCCTGGCTCTGGCTCGGATTCCAGCTTCCTGATCACACACACCCTGGGAAGCAGCAGGTAATGGCTCATATACTTGGGTCCCTCCACCCATGTGGGAGACTGGAATAAGTTCCTGGCGCCTGGCTTCTGCCTGGCCCATTCTTGGGGAAGAGAACCAGCATGTTGGAAGATCTCTCTCCATCTGTGTATCTATAATAAATAAATAATTTGAAATCATCTTAAATTATACCTTCCGTATCAGATTCCAGGGCAGTTAGCATTGAGGTCTCTTTGTCTGCTTTTAATTTTGATATTAAAGATGTTACTGTTGAGAGATAGACGAGGGTAGCCATTAATGATTGAAACCTTAAACTTCTCAGTGGGTGCCTATGGGGTATCTATGGTCTGAGGTTCTTTCTTGGCACCAAGGCAGATCAGCACATTGGAAGAACTGACACTGGGGCCTATGTTGGGTGCTCCCTCTGTCCCTCCTCCTCCTCCTGCTCCAGCTCTTGGCTTTGATGTCTTACTCTAGGTCTGCAACACATCAGTGGTCAGGAAATGTAGCCCTCTGGTAGCACTGGGGTTAGTTTGGGTCCCCAGGACCACCAGGATAACTGGGCTCAGGGAGATTGTTTTAGAGACATTCCTTCTGCCCACGACATCTTTAGGCCAAGTCGCTCCAAGACCATGTAGACCCACAGTGGGATCTCCCTGTCACTAGCACATGGGAGTCTCTGGTATTCTGTCACTGAGGATTCCCCAAGAGATGGGGAATGGGGGCTGGTTGAGAAATATGGGGCTGTCTAGCACAGAGCCATTGAGATGTGCACTGGGAAGCGCCTATGCATTTTTTTTTTTTTTTAGAACTTCTGTTAGCTCTTTGGTAGCCTTGCTTACGTCTTCTGGAATTTTGTGATCTCTGCTCCCTTTTACTTCCCCCACCCCCATCTCCTGCCTATTCCTAAACATGTGTGTGTGCACACACACACACACGTGCACACCCTACCTTCTATTCTTAATAGCAGAAGATGAGAAGGCCTGTTACAAGAAGGTGGAGGCGAGTCTGCTCCACCTGGTTATGGGAGCGTTAGCGTTTGAGCCTGGCCTGTGGTGGGGTGATGAGAGGCCTTTAGGATCCTGACAGCAGCCACATCTGTGAATCCTTCAGTGTCAGACCGAGCGCCTCTTACAGATAAGGAACTCCAACTCATCCTCCTACAGTACAGCTCTCATTGTTAAGAATCATTTCTAGTGGTTCCCCATTCTAGATGGCAAGAGTCAGGTCTCCGTCTTGAGCAGCAGATGGTGAAATTTTTAAAGACAGTGTATTTTCCAGACTTAACATCATCCCCTTTTGCATTTGGTGTGCATACCCTCAGCCTCTCCTCTGAGCCCCAGTCAATCTGCTGCTGCTGCTTCTTCTTCTTCTTCTTCTTCTTCTTTTTTTTTTTTTGACAGGCAGAGTGGACAGTGAGAGAGAGAGACAGAAAGAAAGGTCTTCCTTTTGCCGTTGGTTCACCCTCCAATGGCCGCTGCTGCCGGCGCGCTGCGGCCGACGCACCGCGCTGATCTGAAGCCAGGAGCCAGGTGCTTCTCCTGGTCTCCCATGTGGGTGCAGGGCCCAAGCACTTGGGCCATCCTCCACTGCACTCCTGGGCCACAGCAGAGAGCTGGCCTGGAAGAGGGGCAACCGGGACAGAATCCGGCGCCCCGACCGGGACAAGAACCCTGTGTGCCGGCGCCGCTAGGTGGAGGATTAGCCTAGTGAGCCGCGGCGCCGGCATACACTTTCTTATCTGCATCCAAAGTCCATCATAAAAGCGTTGCATGGGACAGAGCCCTGTGGTTGTCCACTGAAAGCCAAGTTGACTCTGATCCCTTAAACAGTATCTCCAGTGGTATCCAATCTTTCATTGTCCCATCACCTTACATTAGCATCCGCCTCATCTCTCTCTTGTCTGGGAACATCTGGAAGCCTTTGGAAATGAAATACCTTATGAAATTTGGTCTTATGGGGCCACAGTTCCTTGCCCTAATAACCTTGTCCAAAAGTGATGTAAAAGCCAGTGTTATGATTTCTCTTACTGATCTCTGCCGGTTTCTTGTGGTCATTTTGCTCTCAGTATTTCCCCCAGATTGGCACTGACTCGTTTGTCCAATTTATTGTAATTCCTCAAAATCCAGAAATACATGATTAAGCTATTCTCTTTCTCTATATTCTGGGATATATTTTACTTAGGTCAAGAGATAAAAAGCTGCCATTCTCTTCTGATCTTTACATCAGTCTTTGATTTTTGCTATTTCTTACCTAATTTTGTTGTATCCTTTTCAGTCTGAAGATAATTTTCCTTCACAGTGAGGTGAGAATGAAACAGGATTGAAAAATCTGACTTATCTGAATCATTCATCAACCCGTACTAAACAGTAGCGGCCTGGCTTGATCCTCTTTTTGCTCCAGTCATATTTTAAAAGAACCTGTGTCTTTTGTTGCTGACTGAATTAGTGTTGTCATTATTGTTAGCACCATCTTTTGGTCAGCATGTTTATCCTGGAATTCAGCTTTTTGACACTCTTCTTACTATTTTCCTGTATTCATCATTAGAAGTACCCTCAGGGTTTTAACCTCTGCCCGTGATCTTTCAAAACTCCAAGTCCACTGCAGGAAAAAAAAAAATACCAGTTGGCATTTCTGGGGATTTCCTAACCCTCCTTTCTATTGGGTCAGGGGGCTTGAAGCACCACTTCTCCCCTCTCTGTTTAGCCGCACGCACGTTTGTACACACGCAGGCGCTATACATGCACATATTTGTACTCCACAGCCTCCCTCCTACCCAGACAGGTTCTTGGGAGCAGGATATGCCCTTTTGTCGCCGTGATCAGATACTGAATCAGACGAATGTTCAACAACAATTTCACAAGTATTTAATAAATATTTATAGGTGCTTACTCTGGGCCAGGCATTAAATCTTGAGGATTTCTACAAGCGCGGATATAATGCTTGGGGTTAGACTTTCTGGTCTATTTACTTTATAACCCTGCTCTGAGCCTGGATAGATAGACCCGTGAAGGTATAAATAGTCTTTCTGGTCCTCTTGAACACCTCCTCCTTCAGACCACGAGGTCCTTCCTGTGCCTTTAGCATTCTTCCCATGTCAGACCTGTCACCCTCTGGAATAGCAGGTTTCAAGGATTTATCTGGGTGTTTTCTGCCATATTTGGTTCAAAGTTCTATCTGTGCAGAAGGGTTGTTCCATGGAAAACACTGTTGCTGATCTATTGGGGTTTAATATTCCTATAGTGCAAAATAAAAAAAATTTTTTTAAAGAAACAAGAGCGGAGCATCTTGGAAGTTCCTCCTAAACTAGAGGTTGGCTGCTTTCTGTAGCATTTCTGTGCCTGGGAAATCTCTGGGCTCTTGTTAAGAATGCAGAGTCCGGGCCCATTCAGGCAGGAATGCAGATGAGGGCCGGAACCTACATCTGTACAAGCGCCCTGTGATGGGACACGCAGTCCTGGCCCTCTGCAGCAGGAGCCCATGCCTGCTGTCACCTCCGCTGGTCCCCGCTGGCCCTCGGCTCCTCACCTGCAGCCCTTGGCACTGCCTGGCTGTGGGTGCCTGTGCTTCTCCAACAGGTGGATGAGTGGCTTCTGCCTGGCCTTTTTTTTTTTAAAAGGCCACGCGTGGGTATCTTTAGTATTCTGTCTTCCGGCCATAGAAGGCCTGGCTTCCCCTCCCGCACGAGTGTTAGCCCTGTGTCCAACTTGGCCTTGAGCTCCTCTGCCTTTCTGGAGCTCCCGCATCCTCCTGCCTCCCTTTGCCCCCGAGGAGGTCTCCCGCAGTTCCGCCTCCTCCAGCTGTGAGCAGTCTGTGTTGGAGACGGAGCTCAGGGAGGTGGGTGTTCCTCCACAGTACTCCCCGGCTCCCTTGGGACTTGGGCAGTGGAGCCAAGGACGGGGACTATTTCAGAAGGAGCACAGGGACAACTTGGCAGGAAGCACAGCTGGCTCGCCTGCGGCCTTCTCTGTTTTCCAGCCTGGGTCATGGGGTCCGATTTCTTGACCCCAGGAGGCTGCCTTTGGGGAGGTTGGACGGTTCCTTTCCAGGCTTTCTTGGCAGCCGGCTCAGCCAGCTGGCCTGTGAATATTCTCCTTGCATTTGGCAAGGTCAGGGTCCCAGAGCACTGCTGGGGCTACCCATGCATTGTCAGTCTTGGGTACACTTGCTCATTCCATTGACAGTACAAGTGCTCTCTGGGAAGACAGATTGTAACTCACAGGCAGAGGGGAAAGAAAATTTCCATGAATTCTTGTGTTTGAATCTCTGCTATAATGACTGTTGCCACAGGTACCTGCAAGGCACCTAGAGTGTTCTCACTGAGCCTAAATTGGAAGCTTCCACACAGTGCACACCCTGGCCACCACCATCACAGTCTTGATCATCGGACAATGACTGCGGGTGGTGAGACTGTTACTAAACACTCCATGTATGCTGACTTTAAGGAACTCAGTATTGGAGAGACGTGCCCAGATACAGCATTAACTATACATGATGCTCACCACCAAGATAGAAACAGACATGATTGGCTGTGTAGGTTAAGTTTAAAGACCAACATGATGGCGGTTTAACATGGCACATAAAAGAACCACTTAGCAGGGCTTCTTTCTGGGGGTGGGCCCACAAGGGTTTGAAAGGAGTTGAGCTCTTTTCCTCTCACTCCCCTGCCTTCCTCTATCTCTTTTCTCCTCTCCCACATCTCTTTGAGCTTAGCCCTGGCATGTTTACCCAGTAAGTGACGTTCAGGACTTTCCTTGTGAGTACTTAGGTGGAGGCTCAGGTTCCTCCCAGCTGTCATGCTTATGGACTCTGTGATGGTTCTACTTCTTGGGGCTCTGTGAGGGTCCACATGCTAACACAAGTGCCAAATGAACCGACTGAGCCTATAACACTCTCCATCATGTGCTAGCTGGTATGGGCCCATCTTCCATCTCTCCATCCCCTCCTTTAGGGTTTCTGATGCCTAATTTCGCTGAGCCACATTTGAGCTACAAACTGTGGCAGGCATGGACGGCAGCAGGGAGGTGAGGCGAGGGGGGCATCTAATTTACTGCTGCCACGATTGCAGATGTGAAACAAGCCTGCGAATCAGTGATCGATTGATCCCACCTGGGCTGGATTTAAATGATTAATAATAAATAATAAATGATGTTCAGGCTTCCATAACCAGGAGCTCTAGGGTGAAGGGCCTTTGGGCTTAATTGGGCAGGGAATTAGGATCCTCAATGCAATCTTGCCAAACCTTCTCCTGGGGTCTCTCAGTTGTGGCTCTGAAAGTTCAGGGTCCAAATGGTTTGGGCTGGTTCTGAAGCCAGGGTGGCTGTGACCTGCTGCATTCTGAGCAGTCGGAGATGGTCTGGGCCCATGTGCCCTTGTCCGCATGATTGCAGAAGGTCTATGACCCCCAGGGAACCAGTCTGTAACCTGGGAAGGAAATGGCCAGCATCCCTGAAGGAAATAATGCCTGTGTTCACGTAGAACAAGAACAGGGAGACCAAGATAGGAGCCCGGAAAGAGGCTTAGGAAGGTGGAAGACAACGTCTGTTTTTGCACTTGGCTGCTAATATCTTACTCAAAGTACAGTTTCAGATGGCCCATGAAGCAGCCTGATATCATTAGTATGGGAGGCAATATTCAAGCCCCGGTGTTTCTCACAAGGCAGTGTGGCAAGAACTTCCTTATTCCGCACCCCAGCCTACAGAGAGCCTGGCTGCATGGTGGCCAGCAGGGGGCAGCTTCTCTTACCCAATTTTTTCTCATATGTCCATTCCGTCTGACTGTCCTGGTCTCTCATGGAGGAGGAAGGAAATGAGTAAGTGTAAGACTCGGTGGTAATCTCAGAGGTGGAAGGAGGAGAATTGAAGGCAGGTTGAACAGGGGAGTGCGTGGCCATCATGGGGGTGCCAGTGGCAGAGCTCCTAGGAGAGGAGAGGACAAAGTTTGGTCAACTTCCATCAGAGGCCAGGTCAGGAACCCAGCTGTATGGCATGCAGGGAGCTCAACTCTTGCAGTTGAGCTGTTTCCTAGTCCCAGATGGGCAGAGGCCACAGGGTTAGCAGGGACCAGTTTGTGGATCATGGGAAATAGGCCCATGTGCTACCCTGGGCAGCCAACAACTGCCTGATTAAAACATGAAAGAATTGAAGCCAGTGTTGTGGTGTAGCAGGTAAAGCTGCTGCCTTCAACACTGCCGGCATCTCACGTGGGCACCAGTTCGAGTCCTGAGTGCTCCACTTTCCCTGTTGGTGGTCCAGGAAAGGCAGGAGAGGATGGCCCCAGTGTTTGGACTCCTGACACTCACGTGAAACACCCATTTAAAGCTCCTGGCTCCTGGCTTTGGCCTGGTTGTTGCAGCCATCTAAGAAGTAATACAGTAGATGGAAAATTTCTCTCCCCCTTTCTCTGCAACTCTGTCTTTCAAATAAATAAATACATCTTTTATTTTTAAATGAAAGGATCTGTGGATGCCTTCAAGGACCACGAGGCCTGATGGCCATAACTGACAGTGGAATGTTCCAGAACACTCCCCCTTCTTCCTGGCTCATGATCCTACTCATTCCAGTGGCCCTTCCTGTCTCACGGTTGAGTGGAAAAAATTCCCAAGTGGATGCCGTAGTAGTGTGAAATCAAATGCTGAGGTCTGTTGCTATGGCTGGCCCATCACAAATGCTGCCAAGATCCAGAGCATTTTCCATAAGCTCTGATGGCAGGACACCGCCCTTGCTGTCTGGTAACCTTTGGATAAGACGTATGGCCCCAACACAGCCAACTACACCGTGTCCTTTCTTAGGAATCTCTGCCTTCTAACTGGAGCCAAGAAACTAATTCAAAGGAGTGAGAGGGGTCTCCTGGGGGCTTAGGGCCCTGCAGTCATTTGGAGTAAACTGGCCCAGCTGGCAGAGACTGTACCCAGCAGATCAGTGGGTGGTGACTGTGGTTGGTGGAAAGAACATGGACTTTGCTGTGACATGACCTGAGCTTCTGGCTTGTTCTTGAGCCGTAGTGGTAATGTCTTGCTCTTTTAGGGGAAGTCAGAGCTGATCCCTATCTGGGCCAGGGTCCCCGACGCACAGACGGGGAGGGAGGTGGTATCTGGAAGTTGGGGAAAGCTGCTGCTGGTTCTACCAGGTGGCACCGGGGGAAATGGTTCCCTTCCATGTCTAGCGCGGTGACAGGCCCTGCAGGCACCACCTGAGGGACCTGTGGGAAGGCCAGGTCTGTGGTGGCCCTGTGGGCTGAGGCCAAGCAGCTGTGTTCCCCGCACACACCACTGGAAAGATGCTCATGTCCTAGGTCAAGTGACGATAGGGGCAAGATCAAGTGAACCCCGGTGAGCTCCCTGGGCATGTGTCACCTCTTGCCCTGCTCCGGGCCTGATGGAGCAATGCTTGTCCTGCCTCACTCACCAGACACCCACTGGGATGCCAAGAGGCCATGCAGGTCCGCCTGAGAGGACTCTGCAAAGCCACAGCTGCCTGACCAACAGAGGAGGCTATCCTTGAGTTGATGTTGGCCACCCAGTCATTTCCAACTGTGCCCCCATGCATCTGCCCTGGGCTGGGACATTGCAGGGCCTACAGGGGTGCTCATTAGGGCTGTGCTGTGGCCTTGGCTCCAGGAATTCAGACCAGGATTCTGGTCTATCTGGGATATCCATCAGCTTCATGCCCCATCCAGAAGGGAGAGGGGGCAAGGGGAAGCTCGTTAGATCCTGGATCCCAGAAGAGTTCTGTTCTAGGCCTGTTTTTGCAGCCTCTGTGGAGTGAAGAAGGGCAACTTCGGCAGGTGTGAGGAAGTGGGCGGGGGAGCTGCTCTGCTCCTGAGATAGCAGGTGCCCTTCCTCTTTATAAGGGACCCAATGAGATGCTTGACTTGTATTCACTCCCCTTTCCCAAACTCTGCCTGCACACAGACACACACAGACACACAGACACACACCCCACTGTGCCCTTCTTGTCTAAAGGCACTTAGGGAGGGTTCAGTCTCTCAACTCTTGTGTGTGAGGAAAATCCAGGACCTGTCTGAGTGCACTGAGGTCCAGATCTGGCCCCTGGGAACCCAAGGCCAATGAGCACATGGACACTGGTAAGGCCCCCAGGGCTGCTCTGATCCTCACGGCTCTGTGCAGGGGCCTGGGAACGCCCCCAGTGCTGGAATGTGAATAAGGAATTAGACAGGTGTGTGTGTGTGTGTGTGTGTGTGTGTGTGTGGAGCAGAGCTGTTGAAAGCATGCTTCGTGCTCTGGGCACATGTGGTTTGTTGGGAGCGGCATGGAGAATAACACCAACTTGTAGCACTTGCTGGGTGTTGTGGCTGCTGGCCATTGCTCTAAGAGCTTCCTGTGGGTTAGTGCTCATGTAACCTTCCCCACAGCCTCTCCCCATTTTACAGGTGAGGAAAGTGAGGCACAAGGAGAGAAGTGTGTGCTGGGGAAGAGTGCAGACTCCGACTTAGGATATCTGACTCTGGGCTCTGTTCCCCATGGTGGTCACAGCACTGCCATGCCCATTCCCTGCCATGTTGCACTGTGTGATTTGGGGGTGTCAGTAGCTGATGTGAGGGGTCTTTGAAAAGCCTCTCTATATGTGCATCCCGTTTAGAAAGGGAGCTGCCTATCGGATCCCCCTCGCTGGGCCTCTGGGGTACACAGTGTGGACTGGGGAGCCTGGTGTAGAGCAGGGTGGGCTGCCTGGCCAAGCCCACAGGGAGCCTGTGTAGGAGTGCTGTGCCTTCAACTTCTAACTTGGGGCTTCTGTACTTGGAAAAGCCAGGGTTTCACTCCTGCTTCTCACTGTAGCCCAACTGGCCTTTTGTGCTTTCTTGAGATCTAGTGTCAACCCACTTCACCAGGGGAGAACATGAACACCTCACCCTACAGGGGAACACTGGGGAGATGCAAGGTCAAGGACTGTGGGTCGGAAGCCGTGAGCCCCTGCACTGGCTTCTGCAGAGCTCAGCACCCGGAAGGCATGAGGGCACGAACTCCCTGGCTCTGTTACAGGCAGTCTGGCAGGGGCCACGCTCTGCACCAGCAGTTTGGCCAACAGTCACTGCATGCCTGCAAGTGTCCCGGGCCTATTCCCTTCTTGGGCATTGATTCACCTGTTCCCCAGACAACGCTGGTTGTGAGCGCTTTGCTGCCTCGTCTGGACGAGGCCAGTCTCCCTAGAATCAGGTGTCCCTGTCCTCTCGTCTGCATCTGTCCCTCCCCTGTGAGCAGCTGAATGGCAGACGTGAGCAGGGCCCTGACCTCGAGAAGCCCCACTCAGCCCTCCTTCCTCCGGGGACCTGCTGTCCATACTCTCACTTCCCTGCCACACACTCCCCGTGTGAGGTATCTGAAGATCCTGAAACATCGCCCCTAAGTGTGAGCTTCCATTTGATTTACCCCCCAAGAAAATGATCACCTTGCAGCAAGATTCTGTGTGGTTTGTGGTGGAAACATCGTCTTGAATTCTATTGGTAAAACAAACAGAAAGACAATATTGGTCAATAAATAAATAAATAAATAAAGCCTCTTTCTATTTAGAACTGCACTGGCACTGGAATGTCAACAAAATGTGAATTAGCAATTTTGAATTTGAAACTTAAGCATTTAACATTTAATCTATCCATTACTCCCACGCACAGAAAATTCTTGATGAACATTTTTTGGCTATTAAGATGGGGTCTGGGCCGGCTCCGCGGCTCACTAGGCTAATCCTCCGCCTAGCGGCACCGGCACACCGGGTTCTAGTCCCGGTCGGGGCACCGGATTCTGTCCCGGTTGCCCCTCTTCCAGGCCAGCTCTCTGCTGTGGCCCGGGAGTGCAGTGGAGGATGGCCCAGGTGCTTGGGCCCTGCACCCCATGGGAGACCAGGAAAAGCACCTGGCTCCTGGCTCCTGCCATTGGATCAGCGCGGCGGCCATTGGAGGGTGAACCAACGGCAAAGGAAGACCTTTCTCTCTGTCTCTCTCTCTCACTGTCCACTCTGCCTGTCAAAAAAAAAAAAAAAAAAAAAAAAAAAGATGGGGTCTACAAAAATTAAGCAACATGAGCAAATGGTGAAGTTTCAACATTAGGTTGCAAAAGTAAAACACAGGTTCCCCATTTTGTGTGAGAGCTGGTGAAGCCGCCACCTGTGACACCAGCATCCTATATGGGTGAGAGTTTGTGTCTCAGCTGTTCCACTTCTGAGCCAGCTGCCTACCAATGACCTGGGAGAAGCAACAGAGGATGGGCCAAGGGTTTGGACCCCTGCACCCATGTAGGAGACCTGGATGAAGCTCTTGGCTTTGGCCTGGCTCAGCTCTGGCCATTGTGGCCACTTGGGGAGTGAACCAGCAGCTAGCCCCTCCCCCACCCCAACACTGACTTTCAATTAAGTAAATAAAGCTTTAAAATACTGACTTGTATGCAAAGCAGGTTTAAACAGTAAACATGAAACAAACACCACAAACAGACCAAAGCTACCAAATACGCTAAAAGTAGAGGCAGGGGAGAGAAAAAAATCACTCAAATCAGAATCAGTTTTGTTTATATTACTTGTGAAGACATTGGTTGATGTTTTTCTGTGTTTCACTTTACAAATTTTCATTTTGTAAAAGAATAAGAATAGATTTTGTTTCTTTAATGTCACTCTTCTAAAAATAAAGTGTGCGCACAAGTCATGAAAAAGCCGAAACAGAGGCTGAAAGGAAGAAGGAAGGGGGAAAAGCAAGAAGTGGCAAGCAGAGAAGAGAAAGGCGGGGAGGCCCTACTGGCTCTTCCTGTTGTTGCCTGAGGCCTTGGACCCGTCACACCTCCTCTGTCCAACTCCAGGTTCTGCATCTGTGAAGTGGGGGGCAAGGGAGATAATGGTAGGGAGAGGTAAAGGAGATGGAGATTGTGAAATCTGCAGCCTACACACTTTGCCCCATTCAGTGGTGTTCCTGACCTTCTCTGCACAAGACGTGCAGAACATGAAGCTGTTTGTAGCACAAGGGAGGCAGCAGATGCGTGGCCCTGGGGCTCAGCACCCCACAACCGCCACAAACTGTGACTCTCCCAGCAGGAACAGTGGGCTGGCTCTCCCATCCATGCCTTATGAGTATCTCTCACATCTTTCTTCTTATGTACACAAAATTGCTTGGTTCCCTGGAAATGGTAGTAGGGGCACCAATGCTCAACTGGAAATGGTAACTGAATCACAGCATTTAGTCCAAACAGCATTTGAAGCTGTTGAAGAGGAGCTAGCAAGGGTGAAGAAAATCCAGTCCAGAGCGCCATGTGCATCAGCATCCATTAGGTGAAAACACTGTGGATCAAAACCAATACATGTGATGTCTCTATGACATTATTTGCCACAGAGCAAATAATTCACCATTGGAAAGGTCTTGGGTTCTAAAAAAGCAAAGGAGGGGCTGGCACCGTGGTATAGCAGGTTAAACCCCTCTGCCTGCTGCGCCAGCATCCCATATGGATGCTGGTTCTAGCTCTGACTGCTGTACTTCCGATCCAGCTCCTTGCTAATGCACCTGGGAAAGCAGTAGAAGATGACCCAAGAGCTTGGGCCCCTGTACCACGTAGGGGACCCAGATGAAGCTCCTGGCTCCTGACTTCCATCTGGCCCAAGCCTGGCTGTTGCTAGGAGTGAACCAGTTCAGGGAGTGAACCAGCACATGGAAGCCTTCTCTCTCTGCATCTGCCTCTCCCTCTCTGTAACTCTACCTTTCAAATAAATAAATAAATAAATGTTTATAAAAAAATAAAAAACTCAAAGGAGTCTCACTGTGGTGCAGTGCCACCGGATAGGGTGTTCTGTGGCAGCAGGGGAGCAAGGTAGCTTTTACTCCTTCTAGCACCTTCCTTTCTGTGAGATCAGAAGAGCATTTTTACACCTTACACTTTATGGTGTAGGAGAGCTTCCAAAGCTCTTTCGGATCTGTCACTTCACTTTCTCATCACCGCCACACTGTAAAGATGGGGGTCCCTGCACCTGGGGAACAGAGTCCCAGTGATGGCAAGGGACACCCAAGATTGGTCACAGGCCCCACTATGTGTGAAGTCTTCAGATTTCCACACCAGGCCATTACACCACGTTCTAAGTCTCCCTGGAAGGGCAGCCAGATATGAGTCTCAGCTAGCTGTGACTCCAGGGGCAATGGATGAGCATTTATATTAAAGTTTGCCATCTGAGAGAGGCGCCTTTCTCTGAAGGGAGGAAGGAACCTCCACTGTGATATGGCCTTGACTAAACAAATTCAGAGTTGGTGAACTCAAGGGGCTTCCATAGCCTAGACAGCTCATAGCAAGAGTCTCGGGTGATTGCTGACATCATAAATAAGAGTGCCAATTGTTAAATCAACAACGGGAGTCACTGGGTTCATGCTCCCCATGCAGGATCTCTGTCCTTAATATATTTAACTATGAAACTGAAAAACAACACTACTAGTCGAACAATACCCTATACCTGGTTCAGTTGTGTGAGTGCAACCTGTTGAAATCCCTGCTTAGTATATACTAAGTTGATCTTCAGTATATGAAGGTAATTGAAAACGAAACGTGATGAAGAGCGGGATGGAAGAGGGAGTGGGTGAGGGGAGGGCCACGGGAGGGAGGGAGGGAGGGGGGGAAGCCACAACAATACAAAAGATGCATTTTATATTCTACTTAAAACTATTGGTTGAACTCTGTAGTTAATACACAATTACTCTTAGGTGTTTAATTAATGCTATAACTAGTACTCAAACAGTATTTTACACTTTGTGTTTCTGTGTGGGAGCAAAATGTGGAAATCTTTACTTAACATACGCTAAATTGATCTTCTGTATATAAAGATAATTGAAAATTAATCGTGATATGAAGGGGAAGGGGAGAGGGAGTGGGAGAGGGGGGCATTGTGGGTGGGAGGGAAGTTACGGGGGGGAGGAAGCTATTGTAATCCATAAGCTGTACTTTGGAGATTTATGCTCGTTAAATAAAAAAAAAAGTTAGCCATCTGATTTTACTGGATTTCTCCTACAGACAATGGAGGCAAATCATCTCTTTAAGGAAGAGAGAAAGGTGAAGGTTGTTCCTGGCCTAACCTGATTTGATTTGTCCAGGGCAATGGGCACCTGAGAAGCTGACCTTTGTGTGGAGTGAGAGGGCAGAAAGTATAGACCCTTCTCTCATCCCACTTCATTGCACTTCTCATATTTGTTTGTTATGTGCTTCACACAGGGAGGAGATGAGGCCTCGAGACTGTGGTCAATGGCAGTAGAGTAATAACAGATAACATAATGGCATACTAATCATAGTTAACATGTATATATCCTTAACATGCCGTGTGCCTGGCATAGCTCTCAATGCTGTCTATGATTTAACCCCTTTAATCCTCACAAACATTCTAGGTAGGTCTGTTGCTATTCCTAATTTACTGTGAAGAAAACCAAGACAGAGGGAGGTTCAGTGATTTTTTTCGAGCTCATGTAACTAGGAAGTGGGAGAGAGCTGGTGTGCAAGCCAGGCCAAGGCTCCTGAGAGAGCAAGAAAAATGTGCCGTATGTGCAGACTCCTAGCTGCTACCAGAAGGAGAACAAATGGCACTCATGTCCCTCCTCTGCTCTGCTGCTCATCCTGTGGCAGACATCACTAGTTGATCACAGCATTCTTTTATGATGAGCTCAAATGAGACCTTGGCATCCTCAACATACTGCTCTACCACTAACCTTTAGTAATTAATCCATCAGAAAGACAGACGGAAGCCTATCTGTCAGCTCTGAGCTCACTTTGTAAATGTCAATTAATTCATAAGGTTATTTAGAAAACTCTGTGTGTGTGTGTGTGTGTGTGAGAGAGAGAGAGAGAGAGAGTGAGTGAGCGAGCGAGCAAGCGCACATGTGCCTGGCATTGTGAGTGACTGACCACTCGATTCAGTTTGCATTTACAGGAGCATCTGCAGTGGGTTAGCAGGCCAGTCATATTAGGCACTGAGGTAACAACACAAAAGGTAAACAAATTTATGTCTCCTAATACCTTTGGATTAGAAGACTATTCTACATAAAGAAAAACTGTGATTTAAATTCTTTTGAAAGGCTGAGGATTCTGCTGTAAACCCCTTCTTAACCTGTTTTGTACAATCTGGCTTGGTACCTTGTGTTTTCATAGACTAAGACATTCTTTCACGTGCCCTTAAAGGCATTTTAGCATTCCCCTGCCATTTTTTTCCAGTGTCCCTCTAATTTTTTTCTAGCAGGGGCATTTATTTTCAAAGCTTTTGCTTTATACACAGTTCCATTCACTTGACAGCACTGCATTTGTCCTACTCTAGTGGGTAATATATTTACAAAGATCTAGCACAGAGAGGGACATGTTAAGAATGTTTGATTCATACTGTGCTAGAGAAAAGCCCTGAATGCTATTTTTCAGTATTAGAATTACACTTGGTATTTGAAAAGCAGGGATATTAGGATTCCAAGAGGGAGCTTAGTGGTAGAGTCACACAAGAAAGAGTTTCCCAGTGATAGAGGAATTTTCTCTTCAATTCAACAACCACACTTCCACAAAGGGAGTAGGCATGGAGGATGGCACATCTGACTTGACAGAAGGGGACATAAAGGTAAAAACACTTGCGTGGCTGCTGAGACTACCCAGTGCTCAGGATGTAGGTTGTGTGTATTCAGATTTTGAGGGATGTAGAAATCCAAAATGCTTGGGATGCCTATGTTGGGAGCAGAATTGGATCTAGAAAAGTAGTTTAGTTATACTTCTAGGTCAACAGTAAGATGATGCAGGTGGCCTGGGTTTTCAAATTTCTGTACTTAGCTGGATCTGGCCATGAAGACACGACATCGAGGGAAGACACCCCACGGGCCGACAAGTAGAATGCACACGAGCCACTGCTAGCAGACAGCACACGGAGGCTGCTGCCAAATAATAAAACCCAAATTAAGGAAACATTGCCAACTGCAGAAATAGTATTGGAAAAATGTCAGCCCTGGGATGAGAACAAGCATTTCAAAGTCAAATACTCACTGCAGAGGAAGATTTCTTCTGGGGGGCCAAATGGGCACCCCAAGAAGCGAATTTGTGACTACTGACCTCACAACAGGTTGTAGGAATGTATTCCAGGAAACAAGTATTGACCACTGAAAAAAAACTTAGTCACATGGATGTTAACCAAAGTGCTTTTTGTAGAGCAATACCAAATTAGAGGCAATAAAATATCAATGATAGCAGATTGATTAAAAATATTATAGTTCTTCAGTACCATATAACATGATGGAGCCACTGAAATGTTTTGTAGAAAATTTAATAACAGTAAATATGAAACCTGAAACATTTTCATGTAAGTACACAAATTGTATATGTATTATATAACTTTACTAGAGGGTTTTCAGAAAGTTTATGGATATATGTATTATGAAAAATCTATGCATGGATTTCAAAATTTTGCCCCAAAATAAACTTATCTTTTAATTCAACTTTTCCATGAACTTTTTGAATTCCCTTTACATAAATAAATGTACCTTAAAAAGCAGACTGCAAATACTATATAAAGTTTGATATTTGCATATGGATTATAATATATATGTCTGAGGAGGATATAGCCAAACTGTGAAAAGTAATTATCATCTCTGAGTGATAGTAACTTTTGCTTTCTTCTTTTTGCTTATATGAGACTACTTCAAAAATAAGCTGATTTTAGGGGCTAGTGTTGTGGTACAGTGAGATAAGCCACTGCCTGTGATGCTAGCCTCTCATATGAGCACTTATTTGAATTGTGGCTGCTCTACTTCCAATCCAGCTCCCCTGTTAATGTGCCTGGGAAAGCAGCAGAAGATGGCTCAACTACTTGGATCCCCTTCACCCGTGTGGGAGACTTGGAAGGAGTTCCAGGCTCTTGGCTTTGGTCTGGCCCAGCCATAGCCATTGGGTTATTTGGGGAGAAAACCAGCAAACAGAAGATCTTTTGCTCTGTGTGTCTCATTTTTTTCTCCTTCTGTTGCTCTGCCTTTCAAATAAATAAAAAAGGCCATTTTAATGCAAAAAGATTTGAAATCAATGTATACAATTTTCATAATCTGCATTTTTCATGAAGTTTTTAAAGACTTCTCATATAGCTTCTGAAACATCCACAATGAACATGTGGATACTGTCTCCCTTACACATAGTTTTCTTTCTCCAAGTACTTCCTCTCGTCTAGATACGCACCCTCTTGCAGGTATTTTCCATACAGGTAGTCCTTTCTTTTCAGATACTTTTCCTCATATAGGTATTCATCCTCCTGCAGATACTCTTCCTCCTCGAAAGACTCTTCTTCTTCTTCTTCTTCTGGAGATGGAGAGGCATCCTGCAAGTTCTCTTCATCTACTACTGCTTCAACCTCCTCTTCCTCTGAAGATAAAATCTGTGTGGAATGATGGGAAGTGGTGGGAGGGGACGCTCCAGGTGATTGGCTATTTTCAGCTGACATGATGGGGAAGTTTTAAGCAGATTAACCCCTTCAGCAGCAGGCAAAGTCACTTTATCATCCTGGTAACCAAGAGAGGAATAAAATCCCATTAGTCAGTAAATACAGTCAATACTGCATATTGATTTCAGTCTATTTGTGTGCATTCATTTCATTCAGTCATCTTTGGAGGGCCCTTTAAGTATGCAGATCAGTACATGGAGGCCTATGAAAAGGCACAAAGAGAGGGAGCAGAGACTTTACTGGCATTGAGCTGATTGGGAGGTCATATCTGAAGGCAAAGCCTTTGAAATTACTGCAAGATATGAAGTAAGCAATGAGGACTGGAGAGAAAAGGAGGCATCAGTATTTAGTGGTTTGATTATGAGGGAAGATTTTTTATTTATTTTTCAAGAGCTAATGCTCCAACAGACAAGACAGAGACTGTTTTCCAGGAGCTGGAAGAAAAAAAGTATTTCTGGCCGGCGCTGTGGCTCACTTGGTTAATCCTCCGCCTGTGGCGCTGGCATCCCATACGGGCACCGGTTCTGTCCCGGTTGCTCCTCTTCCAGTCGAGCTCTCTGCTGAGGCCTGGGAAGGCAGTAGAGGATGGCCCAGGTGCTTTGTGGGGAGCAACTCGGACTAGACTAAGTTACTGGAATTAAGACTTATTCTATACATCTGCTCTCCCACAATATGGCACTGGGAGAGGAGGAAACAGCTTCTACACAGCTGCCTCCAGTTCAACCAATAAACAGCAGGACCTGCTCCTGATTGGAGGAGAGCAGCGTACTCGGCGTGTGGGTAGCAGAGTTGGGATTGGTGGAAGAGGACTATAAAGGAGGAGAGAGACAACATGCACCAGGAACATCTATCCGAATAACACCTGAGCAGCCCCCGAGAGAGCCGGCCGGCGGTGTGCCGCTCCCCTGCGGAAGTGGGGAAAGCGGCAGGGGGAACCGCCCTTCCACGGAGGTGGAAGGGACGGTAGCCAACCCGGGAAGAACCAGCAGCAAACCCGGGGAGGGCCGAACAGACGAAAGAACAGCGCAGGGTTCAGTGTCGTTCCTCCATGAAGAGAGGGAACGACATAATGGTGCCGTGACTCAGATAGGAAGCCTAGGCAGGGTTCAGTGTCACTCCTCCATGAAGAGGGGGAGCGACATAATGGTGCCGTGACTCGGATAGGAAACTTAGGAGGGAAGAAACGGGAAGAAGTGGGAAAATACCGGAGAGAGAGACTAGCAAAGAGCCTAGGGAAAAGCCGGACGGAAAAGGTGCCGGAAGAAGCTATCGAAAGCCTAGGCATAGACTCGGATATGGACTGTGGGAAAGAAGTTAGGATTGGACGTTAGGATTGAAAGCGAAAGTGAAAGCTGGAAGAAGCTTAGACTCGGATACGGACTATGGCGGGGAAGCTAGGAGATTGAAAGTGAAAGTGAAACCTAGAAGAAACTTAGACTTGGATACGGACTGTGGGGAGAAGCCAGGAGAAATGAGAGGGGAATATTGCTGTTGGAAGAAAAGTTAGGGAAACATACCGGGTAGAGAAAAATATGTTAGGGAGAATGAAGCCGCGGGGGCAGGCTGAGGCGGAGACGTAAGCTAGCTTGAGATTCGTCAAGTCAGCCCAGGGAACAAGGGGCGAAAATCTGGAACCCGAGGCGGAGACGTGGGCCAGGTTGGAATCCGTCAGATTAGCCCAGGGAGCAAAAGACGGGAAGCCAAACCGAAAGGCGCAGACGTGAGCTAGGTTGAATTCGCCAGGTTAGCCCGGGGAACTTAGACTGAATACCGGTGGCGGAAACGTGAGCTGTGCTGTGTGACTCGTGGAAGCCGCTGCGTGCAGAGAGAGCGCGCGGGGCGTGAATAGATAGGGAACGTGGGGCTAGCGCGAAGGCTGTGGTGCGGGCACAAAGGGCGCGGAGACCGCGGAGCGCGCAGAGCCAGGAAGCCGCCACGGGGCGAGGTGCCGAGAAGCAGCCTCGGGGCAGGCGCCGGGAAGCCACGGGGATAAGAGAAACAGAAGTTTAGAAATAAAATGAGAGAAATAGGAATGCTGGTAGATAGAAGTAAAATAGGAGAGATAGGAATGCCCAGAGATAGAGAAATAGAGAAAAATAAGGCCTCCCCACAACACGGCAATGAGAGAGCTTGGATTCGGTCTGCCTGATTAGTAAGACGATAAGCACCTGCTGGCGGCTAGCAGCTTACCTGCTGCAGGTCACCGAAGACAGGCACGTTATCAACACCAATAAGTCTCCCCACAATACGGCAATGAGAAGGCTTGGATTCGGTTTGCCTGATTGGTAGAGCTTGTAAGCACCTGCAGGCAGTTCTAGCAGAGCAGAGCATGCGCTGCAGGGCACCGAACACAGGCATGCATCAGCGCCTAAAAACCTCCTCACAACATGGCAAAGAGAGGACCCGGATTTGGTTTGCCTGATTGGTAGGGCTTGTAAGCACCTGTGGGCAACTCTAGCAAGTAGAGCAGAGTGTGTGCCGCGGGGCACCGAAGACAGGCGTGTATCAACGCCAAAAATAAAAAGAAAGGGGGATCTGTGGGGAGCAACTCGGACTAGACTAAGTTACTGGAATTAAGACTTATGCTATACATCTGCTCTTCCACAATATGGCGCTGGGAGAGGAGGAAACAGCTTCTACACAGCTGCCTCCAGTTCAACCAATAAACAGCAGGACCTGCTCCTGATTGGAGGAGAGCAGCGTACTCGGCGTGTGGGTAGCAGAGTTGGGATTGGTGGAAGAGGACTATAAAGGAGGAAAGAGACAACATGCACTAGGAACATCTATCCGAATAACACCTGAGCAGCCCCCGAGAGAGCCGGCCGGCGGTGTGCCGCTCCCCTGCGGAAGTGGGGAAAGCGGCAGGGGGAACCGCCCTTCCACGGAGGTGGAAGGGACGGTAGCCAACCCGGGAAGAACCAGCAGCAAACCCGGGGAGGGCCGAACAGACGAAAGAACAGCGCAGGGTTCAGTGTCGTTCCTCCATGAAGAGGGGGAGCGACAGTGCTTGGGCTGCTGCACCCGCATGGGAGACTAGGAAGAGGCATCTGGCTCCTGTCTTTGGGTCGCACAGCACTGGCCGTAGTGGCCATTTGGGGAGTGAACCAACAGAAGGAAGATCTTTCTCTCTGTCTCTCTCTCACTGTCTATAACTCTACCTGTCAAATAAAAAAAAAGAAAAAAAAAGTATTTCTAAACATAAAGTGAAAGTATGATGGAAGTGGTATGTGCAGGATGATGTAGATACACTGGTTGGGAGGCACTCGGCCAATTAAGACCCTGGTGGTTGGAAGTCTGCAGGGCACATTCTCATGGCTGCCATGGCACTGTCACCTTGGCTAGAAACACCGCTTACTGTTTATTCACTCAGCCTCAACTGTAATCCCCAGCCTCAACTCCACGGTGAGCATCTTGACTCCTTCTGGAAGTCTCCCAGGCTCTATTCTCTGGTCCACCATGATGCTATGCTTTGGATATGGCCTGAGGTCTCCCAAGGCTTCTTGTACTGAAATGCAATCTCCATGGTGATGTATTGAGAGGGTAGGAACCTAATCTAACCATGGTGTTTACAGGAGAGGCCTTTGGGAGGTGATTAGGATTAGATAAGGGAATTCAGGTGGACCCCCATGATTGGTGGTTATATAAGAAGAAGAGAGTCCAGATTTACCCAAACACATGCACACACCCTGTCTCCCACCATGTGATGCCTGCACCACCTCAGGACTCTGTCAGCGAGGAGGCCATCACCAGATGAGGCCCCCGGACCTTGTTTCTCCAGAACCTGGAGCCCAAATTGCCCTCTTTTCTCTATCAGTCAGCTGACCTCAGTTATTTTGTTACTGTACTGAAAATACCAGACTAGTTCCTTCTACATTTATATCAAAGTCATTATTTTGCTGTATTCCTTGTTTGCACACTTTTCTTTCCAACTGTGTGAACAACTTCTTCTTCTTCTTTTTTAAAGATTTACTTATTTATTTGAAAGACAGAATTACAGAGAGGCAGAGGCAGAAGCAGAGAGAGAAAGAGAGAGGTCTTCCATCCACTGGTTCATTCCCCAAATGGCCACAACAGCTAGAGCTGGGCCAATCCAAAGCCAGGAGCCCAGAGCTTCTTCCGAGTCTCCCAGGTGGGTGCAGGGGCCCAAGGACTTGGGCCATCTTCTGCTGCTTTCCCAGGCCATAGCAGAGAGCAGATCAGAAATGGAGCAGCTGGGACTCTAATTGGTGCCTATATGGGATGCCAGCACTACAGGTGGCAGCTTTAGCCGCTATGCCACAGCACCAGCTCCTATGTGAACTTCTTAATGTTGGTGGGGGGAGTGTTGATTTTTTATAAATCCTTTTTGATTCCTTCCTGCTACTACTGCCTGCAGTGTGACCACCTGTGGTGAACATGGCATCTCTAGTCTGGATTACAGGCTTTCCTGGGACCAATACAGCTGCCCTGCTAGCATTCTCCATGAAGATTATTGTAAACACCTAAATCATATCAGGATATCCACCACTTCAATCCTCCCAGCAACTTTATGCTGTACTTAGAATACAATGTAAACTTCATTGTGTGTCCTCTAGTGCCTGCCTGTTTCTCTGACCTTGTCTCTTCCCATCCCTTCTCCACTGCCCTACTTTGTCATTCTTTCCTCCTGAACTTATCACTGTATCTAATTATGTATCTATTTCTATGTTTCCTTGTTCAGACTTTCTTATTCACTAGACCCAAGTGTCTCAATGACAATGACTGGTATGACCTGTTCACCACTCTACCACCAATGGTTTATCCCAGAATCTAATGCATGATAAATGTCCAGTAAATAGGTGGCCAGTGACTTAATGAAGGGCTATACAGAAGTGTCTGCAGAGGTTTATTCTGCACAATGGGATATGCTGAAGAGCCTGCTCATTGGGGAGGCAGCTGGTCCAGAAACCTCCTGTTTGCTCTGGGGAGTTAAGAGATCAATATTTATCCCGTAGTATCATGGGAAGCCAGCCAGAGGAGATTGCCAGGGTCACTTTTAGCATACAGTCTGATGCTTACAATGAGGGGTGTAGTGGGGAAG